ACCATCTATCATGTTTGATGGATCAAAATGCAGATCTCTAGTTATCCTTGCAATGGAGTACTAAGACCTGATATCACCTGCAGATACATGATTTGCTTAGAAATTACAGTGAATTATTTATTGAAACTGTTCAACCTGATAATTTATGTTCAACAAATTTACAATTTGATATCCTTTGCAAGCCTTGCTCTTTTTCCGACTTGATTTCAATGGCTCTATGAAATGACTGCACTCAGTTCAGTACAATGCTGATGTTTCATTTTGTTCCTCAGGTCCGAGTATATCATTCCGATAGAGTGTTCCTGCAGCTGGAATCAGCAAAGGAAGAGTACATTCATGCGAGTGTCGGTATATGGGAAGAACAGAAGATCCTTCTACCAAAGGTCCTAGAATCATATGCCAAGGACACAAAACTAAGCTCACAGAGATTGGTGGACATGGTTCAGTGTTACCTTCCAGAGACTCTCAGGATGGCCATGCAGAGATGCCAACAAGTCAGATCCAAGAAGACCATCGAATGGGTACCTCACAACTTCAATTTTAGATATCTGCTATCAAGAGAATTAGTGTCTCAACAGATAAAATGAGAGTGAGGATGACTTCTATGAGTTTGATTGTTCCTTTTTCTTTCCCCATTTCCTGTATAAAAATGTCAATGAATTGTATAACAAGATTGCAATGTATTTTATTACATGTGCATAATTCAATTGGGCTTGGTGAAGTTTTGATTGCAAGGAAATGGCTTTAACTGATTGATTGATGTCATTTTGGTTGAGAGATGTCTGCTTTCTGCATCTTCTCACCAGAAATATTTACCCAATTTATATATCTCCAATCAAGAGTCTATCGAGTCAACACTAACACTAGGACACGAAGTTATAATTTAAGTATCAAAGGGATCACTTCGTTAGGTAACAATAATAGAGGTTACCCGCACTTCCTACTCAATTCCATCACTAACTTAAACATCGGAGAGATCACGTCGAGAATCTTACTCGACCTTGGTTGTAGGTTGACACCAGATTAGTCTCGACCTTGGTTGTAGGTTGACACCAGATTAGTCGTTCGATTGAAGCCCCCTCCATCGCATCTCAAATAATTTTTATATAAATTAGACTAATCATTTAGCATGAACAGTTGATTCAAAATATGTAAATGTAAATTAATAATAATATACTCATTAGATTCTTATAAATTAATCTTAATTTTTTTCTCTTGTTATATGTTCTATCTTTAATCCGAAATCAAATATAACACTGTATGTTGGTAATACAAAATGATATGATATAAGTAATTATTCTATTTATTATTATTATTTGATTATTTTTAGGATTCTTAAATCTGATTGAGAGAGATGGACTAAATTCTAAAAAGAAGGGCTCTCCAAATAAAAGCCCATTATGTGGGTTTTTTTGTGGATTAATTGACTAAATTTAATTTCTATTTTGAAAATATGCTAAAAATGCGAAATTTATTATAACAGGAGCTATAGAAATTGGGTGGTCGGATCCGATAATGGATATCAATAGATCCGACCCGTTAACACCAGAAGACGGTAACAGGCTTATCAGACTCGGCGACCCCACTCACGTCCGCATCCCACGACTCGGAGCCTCGGCAAACAAACGAACATGTGGCGGAGAGAAATGGGAGATGGAGATCGCGGGCCGTGAGGGACGCCCTCATCACCGTCTCCTCAACCCTAACCCCTCTTCCTCCACGGTTTAGACCAGAGGGAGATAGAGAGACCGATGGAGGGAGAAGAGATCGGTTTGGTGCTGGCGCGAGCATCCGAGCTCCGGTCCAAGATCATCGGTTGCATCGGTGGCAACCGGGCCGGAGGACGAGCCGCGACCCAAGGGGAAGAGGGGGAGGAGGAGGAAGCCGGGAGCCTCGTCGGCATCCGTGACGCCCTCGACTCGTTGGAACGACATCTCGCGGCCTTGCAGGTATGAATCTTGCGTAATAACCCTGTTGTTTATGTTGTTTAGGTTTATGGAGGCGGGGAGGATTTCTTGATTGGGGTTTTAATCGCATCTCTTCGATATTGAGGCTTATGGAAAAGTTAAAGATGGCAATTTGGGATCGCTTGAACTGCCCTTTGTTTGAGCCCATTGTTCCAAGCCGTTCCTTCGACTCATTTAGGGGGCACCTCGCTAACCCATTCTTTAGGATCGAGGACATGGATGGATTTTAGAATGAGATGTGTTTGGCTTTATGATCCCGCGACCAATAAAAATTGGATCTTTGCGATGTTTGAGGCTCATGCAAGACTTAGAATGACATACCACAAGTTTTCTTGAGCACTTCAAACACATTAGTAATATAAAATCCCGTCTCTTGCGTTGCTCTAAAACTCATAGTAGTTAAGTTGCCTTTTTAGTCCATCCAGATTCCTTCACTTTCCATCATCTTTTACCTTGGAACTCTTTCTAATCCAAACATTACCATGTGACCCTCAAAGAACTGCTTAACGCATACCCTCAATAACTCATGCAGAACTGTCCACACACCTGTCCTACATCACTTTGATACTCAAGCTACCTTTTACATGACCAAATCCACGGCCCATTGAATTCAGCAGCATCTCCACCAGTAGCATACTGCCATAGCTTCATCCATACTATTTGTAGTTTGCTTTTTCTTTTTCTTTTTTTTGTTGTCTAACTTTGTGTTTTTTTTTTTAATATCAAAATTGTCATCCACTGATTCAAATCAATTATTTGCCTGATCCAATCCAATCTCAATCCCCAAATCAATTTCAACTTTTAAAACATTCACTCCAACTTTGTTGTGCAGAATGCTATTGATAAATTACAATTTACCACTAAGCAACAAGTAAAGAGCTCTGATGGCAATTCTGTGAACAAATTATTAAGAGGGACATCCTTGCAATTGCTATATTCATGTTAACAAAGGAATACAATTCAATTTTATGTGATTACCTCTTTTAGTGCCTCACTCAAGATCATGCTTGTTATGGTCTTAATTTAAACGATATTTAATAGTGTGGTTTCTTATGTGCTACATTCATTGGAATAACTATATTGTAACAGATAGAAATTACCTAACAGTTCAAAGTAATAGAACTTTAGTTGTTGGCTTCCTTTTCGTTGTCTGTTAATGAAATAATGGTTTTATCCATTGTAAAGTTGACAAACAAATTAGCTACTCTTGAGCTGTGAGCCACTTTCTTTAAGTATGCTATGAACTTTTATTTCTTCTCATTCTTGTCAATTTTCATCATCCAATTTATTCGCATTGTGCTGATTTACTATGTGTTTCTTAAGCAACATCTGGAGTGGTATGGGGTCCCATTGTTAGATAAATTTTTTTGGTATGGCTGGCACTGGTGATTGACTGCTTCTTAGAGAAAAGTCAGATCTTTGTTTCATAAAAGAGAATCAACGGTTGCTTTGTGCATTTGCATATAGCTGAAATGGAGGAGAGGAAGCCTAACGAACTAGATTTGTTTGATTAGATCAGATACAGATCTGACAGATTGTTTGGTATATGCTCAGGCACTGCAGCATCAACAAAGGTACGAAAGAGAATCGATTCTAGCCCAGATTGATCATAGTCGAACTATATTGCTCAGCAAACTCAAGGAGTACAAAGGGGACGAGCTGGAAGCAATTCACGAAGTTGCAGCTTTTGCCGGCGAAGCAGTAGAATGTGCCGATGGCCTGGTCCTGCCCCCATATCCCACCCACCTTCCTGACTTGTTCATATTGGATGACATTGGTGCCAGTTCACACTGCATGTGGAAGAGTAAGAGTAAACCCTCTTGCAATGGACCGATAGCTAACACGAAGCATCAAGGCAAGGGAGCTGCAGCTGCAACTGATAAGAACCAGGGCAGCAGGTCATCAAATGGAATCAGACATGTCATTGGTTTGGTTGTTAAATCAGCGATAACATTTGTTAGTGTGATGTCTATACTAAGTTTTGCCGGTTATCAGCCAGTGCTTAAGAAAAGACCCCAGGCCATGCTGCTGTTTGGTGGGCAAGCACCCAGAGGGAGGCAGGTCACGGTTCAGTGCCCGCAAGAGAAGTTTATGGTCGTCGAAGATGGCAAAGTACGGTGTTTCGTGAAAGAGCGAGTTGAGGTTCCATTTGAGTCAGATGTTACAAGTCCAAATATAAGATATGGATTTGGATGAGACAATTATCTGAACTTGTAAATTGTTTTTAGCATCACGATCTTGATGTTTTGAGCTTAGTCGTTTAGACATCATGTATGTAATGCAAATAAGGCAGAGACGTGAATATTCCCTGGTTTTTTCTTTGTAAGATGTTGTCACGGAACAATGTTCGACACACATCCATGACTCTTTTTTTTTGGTATTTGTTTTTCAGTGTTATGATGTGTTTTCTCGTAGGTAGTGCTTTTTTTTTTTGTCTTGTAAAATCCAAAAACATTTTTGGTTGGGCAGTGTTACAGAAAGAGGAAAATAGTCAAAATAGTCAGTCCTTTTTTTGTTTGGTCTTGCAAATTATTTTATGTGCAGGTAGGTGCACAATGGATTACAATAGATTAAGATCTACAATAGATTAAGGTCTAATGTGACTTTTGTGAGCATCAGTCGCTTGGGTATAATATTCCTTAGCCAAATCTAGCTAAGCTAAGTGGCATTGATTGATTGTATGTAATCAGTAGGATTTGTGACTGTCTTTTTTGTATTTTTGTTAAATAATATATATTTATATTTGGATTAGATCTTTCACTTCATGTAATAATAATAATATATTAACCCATTCGGATGTCTCTCTCCATTGATTTTGAGCTTCAGTGTCTTTCACTTCAATGTAATAAAAAAAGCTCATTAAGTTTTGAGCTTCAGTGATTTTCCATAATAGATTTAACATGAAAAAATAGAAAATTAGAAGAATGGAAACAAAAGTAAAACAATTTTTCATGAGCATTTTTTTAATCAAAGAATAAAAAAATATTCAGAGAAGGAACGACTCCACAACTTTCTCTAGCCTTCTTCCATGTGCAATAAACCGTGAAATGTAGTCGTTTTGTTCTCGGGTAGAAAACAACGTTGCCTCCGGAGCGTGCTCCGACACCAACTAAATCTCGAACGTCCATCTCGACCCGCACGCCTTCGGACGGTCCACATCGTTCCGACGAACCCAATGTGCGGTGCACGCTTGTGCACCGCGGAGCACAACACCGCGACTCCAACAACCAACACGATGACTCCAAACCCACCCTCCCGCCTATTCCGGGATGACGCTCAGATCCGGCGTAAACTTTCGGCTTCCGCCACCGCCACCGCCACCGCCGCTCCTTATCCTCCTCTTCCCCTTCTCCTCCTGCACCCGCCTCTCACCGCCGGTCGCGTCCTCCTGTTCCAATGGGAAAACCAACGGCCCCGGGGCGCCCCGCCCCACCGCCCCCATCAACGCGTCGCTCGCCTTCAACGCCAGCGCCGCGACGTCCTCGGCGCGAAGCGGGTACTTGAGCATCGTCCGCGGGAGCACGAAGTAGAGCTGCCCCGGGCGTAGCTCCTCCTCGGCGCCAACCGCCGAGACAAACGCGTCGAACTCCATCGCGTCCGCGTCGCAAACGAAGAAGCACGCGGCGTCCTTCCCCAGCGCGTGCGCCGCCGTCACGGGCCGCGTGTACTCCCGGAGCCCGCCGTCCGGGAGGACCACCTTCGCCGTCCCATCCACCACCACCGCCGCCGCGTAGCACGAGTTGCAACCCCCCATCGCCGAGGAGGATGCAATGACGGTTTCTTAAGGTAACCAACTGATCGCCGATCTTTTGTTGTCTACTCGGGATATCCGTCGCCGATCTTTTGTTGTCTACTCGGGATATCCGTCGCCGCTCTTTTTTCCGTTCATACGAGGAGACGGACAGAGATGCCGCGAGTTTATATAGAGGACGCGTCACGCGTCTGCCAATTCGTCGTGTAGCGCGAGTGCGACAGCCTGGCTCGATGAGGACAGCTGGCGGTGTGACGGTAACAGTAGGGATGTCGACGAAATTACCATGGGAGGCCTTGGCCGGGGACGGAATGACATGAATGCCCTTGCAGATATTATCGTAGCCCACCAAATATGGCGTATCCAGTCGCATTGCATCGTCGAGAGCGTACATCTCATCCAACGGTCATCCGACCGTTTGATCGGCTCGCAAGTCATCTTAAATTGGAAGATGGAATAGTGAATGTATATGCATCGACGTAAGCTGGCGCATCGAGGCAGGATTGACTCGTTCTTTGAACCCAACGGGCGATCTCCTGCGACAGCTGGTGGCATGGCGCGGTAAGAAGGCATAGGCTTATCGCCACGTGGGCGTCGTCTCCTCGGGGAGCACGCCCTGGACAGGACTACTGCCTCGGGAGGGTGGAGGCGGAGGCAGTGTAGGGTGGGAGAGTGGGATGGAACACGTGGTGTCTAATGCTCCGCGGAATCAGTTGGATTTAAGTGACTCCCCTGTCCCGGGACCGACCGACCCCATCATCACTTTTTTTATGACGCTAGTGTCGTACCCGCAGCCTACACCCACGGGTACGACACAATAATGGCAACACAAGTTGACATTATTATATTAAATATTATATGAAGAAACATAAGAGGTTTTTCATGTGACAAGTCGAATCCTATCTTTCTTCACCAGCATAAATGTCACAGTAAGAGAAATAAGGAGACGAAGCATTATTGTGTAACAGTTCAATTTAGGACTAGGAAGTGTAAAATACGGTGGATATCACGAATATTTTCAGGTGCGCTGTTTTTGAGAGACACCCGATTAGGAATGGGGGGGGGGGGGGATGAACGAGGATGTGGGACCCATGAGAGAGGCATTCGGTGGGTGGGGGAGTGGGGGGCGCTTGAAAAGTGGCACGTGTTTTACAAGACGAGATGCCGAAAGAAAAAGACGGAATATATTATTCCTTTTGTTTTTATGCTTCAGCCTCCATAAGGAAAAATGATTCCTTTTGCTTTTGACGTCGACCATCGGCTCCTTTAAAAGGAACAACAGCCACCTTTAATCGATTTATGTTCGGCAAAGTGCATTGCCTTTAACTCTTATAAAGGAATCATCGGCCATAAACAATGAGCAAAGTGACACGCTTGATTAGATACGTATTGGTTATTTGCATCATTCATCTCTTATAAAGTCTACAACATTTAACACTCTCTTGTGTCTCTTACATTTAATACTTCCAACATAGACCGTTTAATTTAGTTCAAGTTCTCGTACGTTGTCCATTCACAAGTTGATATAATGTTCACTCGTGTTGATATGCAATTCAAGTCTGGTTCAATAGTCGAAAACTTGTTTTGCTACACGATTCAACATTTATACAACCAAAAAAAATTCCTTTTTCCATTGTTGATCTGATACAAATTGGCTTTATATCTACACATCTCTCCAAAGTTATTCGGAGGATTACAGCTAGAATTACGGAACTGCTTCTATGTTTTGGACCTCATTGACGCCATTTTGTACGGCCATCACCCTCCGATCTGATTTGCACTGTCACGCACCAGAAAAGCGTCCGTCCATCTTCGTGTCACGAATCACGATGTCATCGAACGATCACTCCTACGGTACAGATCGTTGCCCCTGGTCCGATGCCGGCGCGCAAACCAGCCGCCAAACAGCCACGAGGACTTCGCCGCCTCGATCTCCTCTGCATCTATTCGGGAATGACGCTCAGATCCGGCGCAAACTTGCCCCCTCCGCCACCTCCCGTCCTCGTCCTCCGCCCCTTCTCTTCCTCGGCCGTCCCCGCAGGGAACACCAGCGGTGCCACGGCGCCCACCAGCGCGGCGCTCGCCTTCACCGCGAGCGCCGCGAGCTCCTCGGCGTGGAGCGGGCGGCTTAGCATTTTGCGCGGGAGCACGAAGTAGAGCTGCCCCGGGCGGAGCTCTTCGTGCGCGCCCACCGTTGAGACGAGCCCCTCGAACTCCATCCCGTCCGCGTCGCACACGAAGAAGCGGGCGGCGTCCTTCCCCAGCACGCGCAAGGCCGTCACGGGCCGCGTATACTCCCGGAGCCCACCGTCGGGGAGGATCACCTTCGCCGTCCCGGACGCCGCCACCACGGCCGCCGCCTCGCTCGACACGCACGCCCCCATTGCCGCCCGAGTGGTATGCCAAAACGCCGGTCTCTTTCGTTCTATCGGAGATGACACGATGGCCTATGGGGGAGGCGAGTTTAAGTATACGGAGAGCGGGGCGTGTCGCCGGCTACTACTTTGTCGTGTAGCGATCTGATGACAGCCTGTGGGTCGCACGTTGGTATGCGGAATTGAGCTTGTCGATTGTGGATTGTCAAAAGTACCCTCAAAAATAGGAGATCTCATTCACGTTCGAGGTCAATTTAGTCAATTAACCGACAGCAAGATTCTCGATGCCGCGCTTGGATCGGTATACCCGAGACAAAGCATCAGAGGGAGGTGAATGCACCACGTGGCTTCTGAGGTCGCCGCATGATTGCTTGATTTAAATCATCGACTCCGCTTGTCCCCCCACCCACCGCCGCTTCTGCTATTTGTCGCGACACCAAGTATCGGGGATCCTACGTGCGCCCGGTGACACCGCGACATAGCTCGTCATCCCTGCTTCGTCCTCGATCTCGATGTTCCTGTTTCTGGCCAATGGGATGGCGAATTCTCCTGGGGGGTGCAGGTGACAAACCAGGTGTGGGCTCGCGGTCCATCTTAACTCTTATGTATTGGGCCTGCTGTTTCGGGTCCAGTTCCAATTGGAATCAAGTTCAAGTCGATCATCATCGTCGTAAGCACGCATGAAACTTTTTGCGTTCTCACAAAACTCTGCATAATCGACATGATTAGAGTTGATATGGAGTGCACCATCAATCAATTATCATCTGATATATAATTCTCATATGATGTCTAGGGTAAAAATAAAATATAAGTCACTATATATCTGTCTACCCACGTACATGAATGTCCCCCTCGTCTACATAGATAAAGGTTCAAGAGTAGTCTATTAGAGGTGATTAGAGATTGTATTCTCATAAAATATTTTATAAAATATTTTATCCATTTATGATTAAGTATATATGCTTATTTTTAACACAATAAAAGGGATCATCTTTTTGATCACTCGTGTCCACACTCAAATATCTAGGATTATTAACTTTGAAATCGAAAGGACTGGGTCCAAAAACCTCTTCCAACCTTGATTTTTGCACAAGTGACACATTATGAGCTCAACATTTTTACTTCAAAAATATCTTGAATAATACTATGCATATTAGTATACTATCATCTTGAATAATATCTTGAACTATATTGAGCTAACGAAAATATCAACGACTTGTTCCAATAACAAAAGTGTCAAACACTTATGTATAATACTTCAATAGATTTATAAGTGTTAAATAAGTATGCTATCATCCACATGGACATAGATGGTTCAAGCAAATCAAGTTAATTTACGAATTATCTCATTAGATGTATTAGGACAAATTGATAACATAAAATGCTATTTTTGTTAGGATCTTAAAGACACTGTAGAGGGAGGGGTGAATTAGTACAATAATATTTTAAAATTCAATCAATAAATCAACATATATCGAAAAACATTTGTTCAAATTAATATACTAATTATCTAATCATATGCATTATGACAAATCGATCACATATAGTATTATTTTTATTAAGATTTTAAAGGCATTTAGTGAGGGAGAGAGGTGAATTAGTGTAACAATATTTTTAACTAATTTTAAAGCTCGATCGATAAATCAACACATATCAAAAAATCGATTGATCAAGTTAAAGTTATAACTAAGAGAATAAAATTAAATCATAAGTAAAATATAAGCAAATAGAGGTAAATTGATTTATAGTGATTTTGTTTTCTAATTTCTAATTTCTCTTACCTCAATTTCTAATTTCTCTTCCCTCGAGGTTACTGACTTTCACTCTTGATTTTCTTTCCAATGGGCGAAGATCAACTATCATTGTCACAACTTTCTTCTTTTTAAGGTTGAGAAGATAACTTTTTATACTCTTTTTATAAATGATCTCTTACCTCCTATAACTTAGAATTTTAACTAAACTTAAGAGGACAAGAAGACTCAAACTATACTCAAAATAAGAGTTTATAATAATTTTGTATAAAAAAATAAGTGCTTCATCAATCAAGCATAGGGTATTTATAAGTCCCAAAAGACTTCAACAATTGAGTCAAAAATTCAAATCCCAAAACTTTTATGGTACTGGTAATAACTACTATCAACACCGGACAATACTACTATCATAATGGAGCCATAAATCTTAGCTCTAGTGGTACTACCACCAGCTTAAGTAGTACTACCCGTGGGTGGTGCTATCATTGGCATGGACAGTAGTACTATTGAAATGTCGAAAAAGCACAAACAATACTTTTTCACCGGACTCAAGTTATATTACTACTTGGGCCTTACAGTATCACAACTTAGGCCTAAATTAAGGCCAATAATTTGACTTTCTAATAGGGCCAATTCAGCCTTGGTTAAAGCCCAATAAGTTTCTTGACAATTCAGCATGGTTTGGCTCAATACTAACTCAATTTGACATAAAAAGACCTTGATCAAGATTTTAACAATCTAATTACATATCTAGCATAATTATGAAGTTTTCAACATATTGTATACTATTTCGGCATATCGTTCGATCTTTCAACAAATTATCATTTTCTTCGGTATATCACTCGATTTATCGGCATGTCAATTTTCTCACGACATTTGATCTTTTGACATAATATTCAATCCTTCCAACACGATTCTTAAACTTATATCACGAAGTCCAATATTTTGCATATTGAACAATCCTCTAGCTCGACATCCAATTTTTGATATGATACTTTTGTCAGTATAATGTCCAATTCTCCTACTTTGACAATTTACTAATTGATGGTTCGAGTTCAAGATCGAAGTATTTTCTGCATCACTTATCTCAAAAGTATATTAGTCCATAAATTAATCAATTCAATAATCTTTCCCTTTGTTATGATGACAATAAATTAATGACTAAGTTTCAATCAAGCTTCTTTTATCTATATGCCATTTTGAAAGGCTACGATAAACTTATCAAATGATCATATACTTTTTAAAATGCATATCCTGAATTCAAGTCAAAAGAAATTTGATATTATCGATATTATAATTATATTATTAAAGCTAAAAAATTAATATTAAATTAAGATTCAAATTTTAGGTTTTAAAATTCAACAATTATCAATGTGTAATATCAATCAAAATATAACTATAATTTAACCATATGTATAAGAAAAAAATCAACGATAACTCAATTGATCAAGTTAATCTACTAATTATTTCATTAGATGCTTTATGGAAAACGATCACATAGAATACTATTTTTGTTAGGATCTTAAAAGCACTACGGGGGAGGTAAACAAATATATAGTGATTCAATCTTCTTGACCTACGTTTATTTCAAATTCCACTTCCCTTGAAGTCATTGACTTTCACTATTGATGTTCTTTACTTCCCTTGAAGTCATTGACTTTCACTATTGATGTTCTTTTTAATGGGCAAAGATCAACTACCATTGTTACAACTTTTTTTTTTTTTAGGACGAGAAGATAAGCTTTCACACTTACTTTTTACATAAGATCACTCACTTCTTATAATTTAGAATTGTAACCAAACACAAGCATAGAAGGAGACTCAAATTATACTTAAAATAATACTTTACGACACTTGTGCTCAAGAATAGGTACTCCATCAACCAAGCATAAGTGAGATATTTATATGCTTTAAAAAGTTTTAAATATAAAGTCAAAATTTTAAATCTCCAAAATTTTGGGTAATAGCGACACTACCATAGGCATAGGCGATATGATACTATTACCGAAAAATATTGAAAAAACACAAATGATGCTTTTCAATTGACTTAGGTGGTACTACCACTTGGACCCAACGATACTACCGCCTAGGCTTAGTTTAGTCTATCGATTTGGCCTTCTAATAGACCCAAATTATCCCTGATTCAAGCCTAATAAGTTTTTTTGATAAGTTGACATAATTTTGACCCAATATAAACTTAATTTAACCTAAAAAAGACTTTGATCAAGACTTTAATAATCCAATCACATATCATACATAATTACGAAGCTTTGAACATGTTGTACAACATTCTGGCATGTTGTCTAATCTTCTGGCACTTCATTTGAACCTCCGATAAATCGTCTCTTTTTTCGGTATATCATTTGAACTATCAACATGTTGACTTTTTCATAACATTTGATGTTTTGGCATAATGCTTGATTCTTCTAACATGATACCTAAACTTATACCACGAAATTTAATCTTTTACACACCGACTAATCCTCCGGCTTGACATTCAATTTTTGACATTATATTTTTTCCTGCAAAAGATCCGATTCTCTTGCATCCGATTCGCATTAATTGATTTCATCGATAAGACTAATTAAATCCTCACATAATTATAACCCGACTTATGATATGAAAATATAATAATTAAAATTATAGATGGTATATACAAGTGAGGGCCAAGCAAAAGATGATGGTCGAAAAAAAAAAAGGCTTAATGAACGTGAGAAACACCCATCTATTGTCAAGTCATTCTTATCACGGAGAACTAAAAATAGATTGTGGAGAAGAAAAGTCTTATATTGGAAGTAAAAAAGTCAAATTAATTAGTTTATAAAGTTAGAGTGGAGTTCAAATACATTAATATACGTAAATAGTTAAGTTAAGAGAATTTATTTTTTTTAGTTAAACTATAAATATGATATATATATATATATATATATATATATATATATATCACATTAAAAATTTAATGTTAAGGAGTAAATAAATACGCGAAAAGAAACAAACAAACACTTCCAAATGCCTTTTCGCAACCACATTATCTCTTAGGATGAAACCGATATAAATGCGTATTATATAAAAATATCAAGGAAGAAATGACCACGTGAAACATTGACCACCCCATTTGACAGAATCCAAGTGAGATAGGTTGATAGATACGCGGGGTGAGACAACCGTATCTAAATTTGCTCGCGTGATTTAGGCCGTTCCCATCTTTGCATACATCATTTCCACCGAGCACCACAGAAATGTTTCAGCCGCCAAACAACTTTCCCCTCCCCCGCGTGTTCTTCGTCTCTCACGTGGTCAACATCAACCGGCCAGAGAGAGAGAGAGAGAGAGAGAGCCATTGAAGTGTTCCTGCCAAAGAACTTTCAACCCCCACCCTTTCCCCGCCGGGGTCTCTTCGTTTCTTTCTCCTTCCTGTCATGGTCATCATCCATCGGCCACAGCGAGAGAGATCGATGGATAGAGAGAGAAGCCGAAGACGACGAGCAGTTGTGCAGTCATTTCTGTCCTCCGAGTCGAGCCAAACTCGCCGTAATAATTTGATGCGCCAAACGCCAAACTCCAGCTTGCAGCTGCTCGTCGCATGGCCTCCCGAGAAGGACTCAGACCCCACTGTGTCGGTGCCCACCCCAACCCCAATCCAATTCAAGTCCGACTCGAGTACCTATTTTCCTTTTAACTAAAATATCTTCTCATCTTAATCCTAAAATACTTGAATTTATTAATTGAATTATGTACTAATGGAGAAAGATTTTTTGAGTGCGGACACCACATAGCACGTGGTGTTGGACGGTGGCGTGCGGGGATCACGATTCCAATCCCAAAATCCCTCTCTCGCGTGCGAACCCCCGCCCCCCCCCTCCAAAGCCCACGTGTACGCTTCCAGATTATTGTAACCTTTTATCAAAGAAAATAAAGCATAAAAATATGGACACAAAGAGAGAGAGAGAGAGAGTTTGTTTTTCTTTGTTTTTTCTTTTTTTGACCAATGGATTCGACTCCACGTGTCTATTTGACCGCTGTACACTTCACGTTTCCATCCTTCGATATCGTTGACTATTGACGTGGCACACCGGCATGCGCCCACCACACTAACTCGTGGCTCCGACCATTTCCCATTTCCTTCTCACTTCCCCGTAGCCGCCTGCTTTTGGTGATTTTATTTTTTTGCTTATTATTATTTCTCTCTCTCTCTCTCTCTCTCTTTTATTTCTTAGTTTAATAGATTATTTATTAATAATACTATTATAATGACGCCTTCTGCGTCTATAAATTGACTCCCTCCTCTGCCTCCGTCGTCGACGACTCCCTTCGTCTCTCTTCCTACTTCTCTTGCTTCGCATCAGCAACAGCAAACGACGATGGCCACGGCATCTCTGGCCTTCTCGACCCCGTCACCTCTGCAGTTTCGCTCCCACCGCCGCCGCCGCACGGCCTCCATCAGGGCATCCGTCTCGGAGAGCCCCGTCACCGCCACGCCGTCTTCCTCTTCGTCTGCGTCGCCGTCGTCCAAGCTGCCGCTGCGGAAGATCCCCGGCGACTACGGCCTCCCCTTAATCGGGCCGCTCCAGGACCGGCTCGCCTACTTCTATTGGGAGGGGCGGGACGAGTTCTTCAAGACCCGCGTGCGCCGCTACGGTTCCACCGTCTTCCGCGCCAACATGCCCCCCGGCCCCTTCCTGGCCTCTGACCCCCGCGTCATCGTCCTCCTCGACGCCGCCAGCTTCCCGGTGCTCTTCGATACCTCCCTTGTCGAGAAGCGCGACGTCTTCACCGGCACCTTCATGCCGTCCACCGAGCTCACCGGCGGCTTCCGTGTGCTCTCCTACCTCGACCCCTCGGAGCCCAACCACGCCCCCCTCAAGCGCCTCCTCTTCTTCCTCCTCTCCCACCGCCGCCAGGCCGTCATCCCCGAGTTTCGCCGCACCTTCGGCACCCTGTTCGAGACCATGGAGGCGGAGATAGCCGCCAAGGGCAAGGCCGACTTCGGCGACGCCAACGACCGCGCCTCCTTCGACTTCCTCGCGCGGGCTTTCTTCGAGCGCGACCCCAAGGACACCGAGCTCGGCCTCGACGGGCCGGGGCTCATCACCAAGTGGGTGCTGTTCCAGCTCGGCCCCCTCCTCACCCTCGGTCTCCCCTCCTACCTCGAGGACCTGTTCCTCCACTCCTTCCGCCTCCCGCCGGCGCTCATCCGGGGTGACTACGATCGGCTCGTGGCCTTCTTCCGGGAATCCGCCGGGCCGGTGCTCGACGAGGCGGAACGGATGGGGATCTCGAGGGAGGAGGCGGTCCACAACATCCTCTTCGCCACCTGCTTCAACACCTTCGGCGGGATGAAGATCCTGTTCCCGGGCCTGGTCAAGTTGGTCGGCCGCGCCGGGGCTCAGCTCCACGGACGATTGGCGCAGGAGATACGGGCGGCGGTGCGGGACGTCGGGGGCGGCGAGGTGACCATGCGGGCCATCGAGGCGATGCCGCTGACAGCGTCGGCGGCGTACGAGGCGCTTCGGATCGAGCCGCCGGTGCCGATGCAGTACGGGCGGGCGAAGCGGGACATGGTGGTGACGAGCCACGACGCGGCGTTCGAGGTGCGCGCCGGGGAGATGCTGTTCGGGTACCAGCCGTTCGCCACCAAGGACGCGCGGGTGTTCGACCGACCACAGGAGTTCGTGGCGGACCGCTTCGTGGGGGCAGAGGGGGCGTCGCTGCTGCGCTACGTGGTGTGGTCCAACGGGCCCGAAACGGAGTCACCGTCGACGGAGAACAAGCAGTGCGCCGGGAAGGACTTCGTGGTGCTGATGGCGCGTCTCCTACTCGTCGAGCTCTTCCTGCGTTACGACTCCTTCGAGGTGGAGGTTGGCGCGTCCGCGCTCGGCTCCTCCGTCAAGCTCACGTCGCTGAAGAAGGCCACCTTCTGAGGCCACCGACGCCGTTGGAGGAACGAACGGCATGGGATGGCGATTCTGTGATTTCTGATCCTGATCGAGGGTTTTTTTCAAAGCATGGGAGACTCGTGGTGGGTCCCGTATCCACGTGAGAAAAGCTTCGTTGATCTGTACTACAAATATTAAACGTGTTCTTTATTTCCTCACCAAACGAGACTGCCGCCAATAATAATAATAATAATAATAATAATAATAATAATAATAATAATAGTTGGAGTAGTAATATTGGTGTTGGAAACCTCGTATTAAATTGATTAAGTGAAAATATATATATATATATATATGTGTATATACACAAAGGGAATTATATAAAAATTATATCTATACAAATGCCATCCACGGAAGGATAATTGTGATTTTTTATTTATTTAGGTGCCATTTTATGCAACATGGGAGGGGCTACAAAGATTACATCCCCCCTTTTCTCGCATGGGTTGCTTTCCAGAGGAGCATTCTAATAATAGTCTCTCGTAGAATAATACATCAAAAAGGCTACTCATGATTTGTATATAATTTCTCACCTACAAAAACATATGGAAATTGGAAGTCACCCCCTCCCCCACCCACTAGGAATCAAACTTCAACATCAATGTTTGCAAAAGAAATACAAATGATAATTCTGTTCACTCGATGTTAGAAAAGTCCAAGCAGTTCGGAGAGCATGACGCGTTCATAATACTTGCATAGTTTTGAATTGAACCTCGATTGACTTTGAAGTCCAATCATGTCCATGCTAAACTGTTTGAATCTATCATACCTATCTGACAAGTCCAAATAGTTGAAACATCACAATTTGTTGTTGTCACTCTTAATCAAGAACCTTATTCTATGAATCAGTGGAGGATATAGAATAATTTGCATGATCAATTGGCCTCTCGAGTTGATTCTGGAGTGAGTCAGAAGAACACTGGAGAAGCCGATGCAAATTTTGAAATCACAAGAACTAAATTGCTGTCTTAATTCTATTCTCAAAAGAAATCCAAATAAAAGTGTTATAGATCATGACAAAACCAATGGCGTAAAGAAGAAGAAGAAGAAGAAGAAGAAGAAGAATAAAGCGTGCTGAGCCTACCGAGGTCACATTCATTGGCGAGTGCTGCTTGAAAGCTATAGCCATTACTGATATGCTTGGAAGCTCTGTTGATAAGCCACACAATACTTGTGCCGGTTAAATCAATGTATAGCAAATACGATTTAGTCACGCATCCAAAGTAAGAAAAAGCTTAAGCCCGTCCAAATTAATGAGACTGTACTCATTTCACTTGTGATGTTGAGATACTGGAATAGAGGGAGCCTCAACTGCACCGCTAAAATGATTGATAACCAAATGGTTGAATCGATTGATATCCAAAAAGCATTCTCGCTTAAACGTGCGGGTGAGTGTGTGTCACTTCAGATAGATAATGCATCCGATGCAGAATCCAACAAAGCAAATGTAAAGCACCACATCTAATTCTCGAGTCAGTAAACTTCACTAAGCTTTTTCTTTTTGTGTCGATTGTATCAGAGCTTTAGATAGGTCTGTTGCCTTCTCAGATTCTCATGCCACTGTTATGGTCATATCATACATTATCCACCTCTGGTCACTGCTTCCCACTGAATCATACACCACCTTATTCCCACCCTATAATTCAATAGACAAGCAGTATCTCTCAAACATATTAGCAATAAACAAACCGTGAGAGCTTATCCACATTTACATCTGAGATCACATATACCAAATACCGATCGATGCATTGTAGATCTCGACGAATTCTTTTATTAGTGTTGGACCGAGAAGCGACATGATAATTTGTGATGCATCTGTAGAATTGCATGGCAGATTAATCTGAACGCGATAGGGCATGGCATGGAGTGGGTATGAGAAATAAGTAGCACAGCTATCGATCTCATTGTTTCCACGGCGGACAAACTCATGTACACGACAAAGGCGGCTGCTTCTCCTCTCGAGCTACTCTCACCGGCGAGCAGACGTGGGATCATCAAGGGGAGGAGAAGGCATCATGGAGCCATGCATCGGGATCTCCATCCTTCTCCACGGCAATCTTCGGCTTGAGGAAGGACACGAGAGCAGCCCGGAACTGGTTGACGCGCTTCCGGTAGCGGATCCGTCGGAGTACGACCGCCCGGTCGAGAGACCGCCGCTCTGCGTCCGGCTTGAGGTAGAGGCAACTGGTGACGGGGTTTCCACCCTGGTTCTCGTCACCAAAAGAAGGCGAAGGCGAGGAGGAGGAGGAGGAGGGAGGCTTTTGAGGGACAAGGAAAGCCATGGGAGGAACCTGTTGAGCTTCTCAGTGGAACGCTGCAAGACTCGAATGGAGAATTAGGAGAGACTGAGGGGCCTTGCAAGTGTCCATATAGAGAGTGAGCGTGAGGGCAAAACCGAGTTCAGGAGGACGTGGTTTCTTCTGCTTTTGCTTTTGGTTCGCTTTATTCTCTGGAGAAACGTTTTGCCTCGAATGCTTTGGCTTCGTTAAACATGCAGCGACGGATGGAAAGTGTTTTCTATTTGTATTCGGATTTCGGAAAACGCTTCCGAAGTTAACCACGTGTCCCACCCAAGCAAAGCGAAAACCAGCGGCTGCTGTAACCATTGGGCCAAGACGAGGTGCCTCGTTGCCGGAATCAGAAAGCGAAAACGCTTTGATATGCCCGATAGCCCGAAACCCGCTTCAAATCTGGGGTATGGATCTTTAAACGATTGGTCCGAGAAGCTGATTCTGTTCGCTAGAAACCCGGATCCGATAATGATTCGAATCGGGCTCATGGTGAAAGGCCAGGTGTCCGCTTAAGGATCACCGCCTCTGGCGTAGAAGAACCCCTCGCCGTCTTCCGCCACCGTTTGCCCTCTTTCGCTGCAACAAAGATCCTTCTTTTCGAACCCTTGGTCTCCGTCTGGTTTGCTTGTCGGGATTGACCTGCCTTCTTTTGGGAGTTTTCTTGGATCTTCTTGCTGAAGTCGTGTGATTTTGGTGAATGCAGGCAAGCGACTGTTTGAGATCGACATGGTGGCAAGACCGGAGGATGCGCCTCCCCTGGTCGGACGAGGTGCGTCATTTTTTGGTGGTCTTCGTTGTTCATGGATCACAATTGTCTGACTTCTTTCTTTAGTGTGTGGATCGAACCACTTGGAACCGTCAAAGCCTGAAACTTGTTGATCTGGTCAGTGGAATCGAGATTCATAACTAGGGTGGCCTGTCGTGTCTATGGAGACAGATCAAATTAGCAGTCCTTAGGTAGAGGCGAAGTCTCGTCAGAGCCATTTATTAGCTGATGATGATTGACCTGTGCCATAAATTGGTATCAAGATTCTAAGCAAACAAGCATACCGATGATAACGAAAAAAAAATAGAGATCTTGAGGAGGAATCGCTACCAAGAACATGAAATAGGAAATCAGTTTAATCCGTTGTCCGTGTAAATTAGCCATCGTCTGCTTTTATCTTTAGAACCTTGATTTTTTTCTGAAACGAAATTCAATTGTAGCTAAAGAGGTCTAATACAGATGTACCACTTAGAACCTGTTCTTCCTCCACCTGTAGCAAAGAACACATGATGGGACAAATGAGTTACCGCCCCATGATTGAAAATCCTGGTTAGCTGGGATTTAATTTAGATGTGAAACTGATAGCGCACTTGAATCTCATGCAGAACACAAAAAGAACTAGTGACATAGGCCTCACTTTAAGGTTACACTAAGACAGAAATCCAGAACAGAGACTGTGTAGCGGTAATTTGATGGAACAAGGGAGCAGGTTCATACTTTATGAAGCAAAGAGTTCATATTACCAACCATGGCTTGCTTCCATTAATGTTCTATTTATAAAGATTCTGCAATTGGTTAAATGATTATGCCGGCTTTCATATGTTTGATTTTTTTTTCTGTCATTGGAGTTTTAGAGTTGTACAACTTGTTTCAAATGGCATGTCAATTTCTTGCAAGAGTCGGGTCTAAAGCTTGAGCTTTCTGATATTTCCTGTCCAGAGCCTTCCTTGTCCCAGAACACCACTTAGAGCAGAACATGTAAGGTTGAAGCTGCGGTCCTCAACAGTTCAATCCGATGATGCTTCTCCGACCTGTATATTAAATGTAGGCATGTTCTTCACAGGAGGAAGCCATGTAGCAACTTGCCAACTATGACGAAGAATTATCAAAGAAACGAGATGATGTTGAAACAGCAGGAGATGTGGGTGTTCTAATCCTCTTCATGTCTGTCTTTTTTATTATTATTATTTTGGAGGCAGCACTTCCTCGGAAGAGGGATTCATTAGCTCGTCTTAATCTGTAGGTTTTGTATCGATGCCATTGATGAGAAAGGGGGGCAGCCATTTGAACAGCTTGATAGTGTTGTAGCTTTCAACACCACACCTGGGGCTGGTACAGAAGTCGCTGCTGATGGGAGTAACCTGGGATTCAGAGTTTGTATTTCCCATGAATATCTAGGTTACATTCTTGACCCAGGGTTTACAATACACAGTAGTACTCTTTTCATAATCATTAAACTCAATTCCTTGGGCCAAAGTTCATGTTGAAGGGACTCTCTTATGGACTTCAAAATGACATGTTAGGCCATCGACTACTTCCAGTTGATCTCTACAGCAGACATGCACTTTCTTTCATCATGTTTCCATGACTACTTCTGAGTGGTATAGCTACTCTGCAGCACATACCCATGGTTGCCTGGAGTTGAACTGTGGCTGTTTGCAGTCGACCATAGCCAGCAGGGATGCATCTTATCGACATCAAGTCAACTTGGATCGGGGCGGCCGCAAGTGGAAATCAAACCAGGTGTGGTAAATGGAATTGGTCGTGTCCACTCCGTTGTTAACTTGAAACTTTTGTTTCGCCATCTTCACAACAAGCACTTGTAAGAGATTTGCTTCGGAATCTACTTGCATGTATGTCTGACACTCGTAGCATTTAATTACAGGTCGAAGAAAGTGTGTTGAACTCATTCGGAATCTACTTGCATCTATCAAAAAAATATCATGATGATAACAAGTGTAAATAAATAATGCAACTCAATTTTAGTTGATTCTTAATGCAGTTGTAAATGAGAGTTAGATTAGCTGATACGTAAATAATAATATGGTGGTTCCCTCAAAAACACATTTCTTCTACTCGTCGGGTGTTACCCATTGTCCAACCCCGCCGGGTCCCACCTCGGATTAACTTTGTCGCCTCTGTCCCGTCTTTGACTCGCCGTCTTCCCTCTCAGACACGTTCAAACGCTACGCTGCTTCCGGGCCCCCACCGTAAATTCCCTGCACCCGCCCGAGCCCGACGAGACGCGTCTCGGCCCCACCGCTCTAACCCAAACCCCACTCCGTTTGTCCTCGTCTCAAGTGACAGCTGCGGACTACTCCCCTTCCTTCCTCTCTCCGTCTCTCTCCTTCCTCCTCGCTCGCGCGTGCTCCCAAAGTCGCTACCTTTTTCCCACTCTTTCATTCCGCTTTATCTGCATCTTGGGGATTAGATTAGGGTTAGCGGCGGCTGTCCACCGTGCCATGCTGCCCACAGATTCTTGATCCCTGGGGGTTATCGCTTGATCCGTCTCCCTCAGCCATGGACCGCCGCCTCATGGTGGTGCTCTCCGCGGCGGAGTCCGCCGACTACTCCTTCGCGGACGAGTACAAGGGCCCTCCCCTCCCCTACGACATCCCCCGCGCCGTCCCCATCGACGTCGACCGCATCCCCCTCGCCGCCGTTGCCCCGGCCTCCGCCGGCCTCCCCGACCTCCCCGTCGTCCACCCCCTCCCCTCCCCCTCTTCCTCCCCGCTCAAGAAGCCACCGCCTCCTCATGCGACGCCGGCGCCGCCGCTCCCTGCCGCGTCCCCGACCTCCGTCATCGAGAACCACGCCGCCATGGACCGCCCCGGCGCCGAGGTCTCGGGCGCGCTGGGCTCGTTCGGCTTCCCCGACCGCTCCACGGACCTCTCGGAGGTCGTGGACAGCTCCGGCGCCATTGGGTTCTCCGATGAGCTTGGGAATGGCGCGGCTTGGTCTAACGAGATGATGCCGAATCGGCTGTCGACCGAATCGGCCCTCAGCTCGGAGTTCAGCTTTCTGTCGTCCGCCTCCGGGGACGGGGACGAGGACGAGGCCGTCGCTTTGCAAGCGAAGAAGGCGTTGCTTGTGACCTTCCAAGAATCCGGCCAGTCCAGTTGTTCCATGTCTCCGGCGGTAGGGGTTACTCCTCGGGCGAGGTCGGAGGATTTAGAAATGAAGACCAAAAAAAGGGCTTGCCATAGGTGCTTGAAAGGAAGTCGTTTCACGGAAAAAGAGACTTGCTTGGCCTGTGATGCAAAGTATTGCAGTGGCTGCGTGTTGAGGGCCATGGGCTCCATGCCGGAGGGGAGGAAATGCATTTCTTGCATTGGTTCTCCGATTCTGGAGTCTAACAGAGAGAGACTGGGGAGGAGCTCCCGGGTGCTTAAAAAGTTGCTGAGTTCCCGGGAGGTGCAGCTGGTGATGAAGGCTGAGAAGGACTGCGAGGCAAACCAGTTGAGACCAGAAGATGTTTGTGTTAATGGAACGAAGCTTAGCTTGGAGGAGATGGTTTTGTTGCAGAGCTGTTCTTGTCCTCCTAATTTGAAGCCTGGATTGTATTGGTACGACAAGGTCTCAGGTTACTGGGGAAAGGTGAGCAAGTAACCTTCATGGACATGTCTCCTGTATCAACTCTTCTATATCTTAATTGTCTAGAACCGTAAGCATATGTTATAGTATTTGTCATTTCTGCAGAGGTTAATTTACCAGTGGACCGCTTTGGTGCCTCAATTTAGAAATTAATATCTGCTGTTACATGTTGCTCTCCTTTATAAGCAAAACTTGTTGCATGACTGGGTTCAGTAAATATGTATTTGGTGATATATCTTTTCTCTCTCTTTTTCTTTGTTATATCAATAATTCGGTTTTAATGTTGATTAATTAAACAACAGGAAGGACACAAGCCCGACAGGATCATTACTCCTCATCTTAATGTTGGGGGCACTCTAATGCAAAATGCAAGCAATGGAAACACTGGAATCCTGATAAATGGTCGGGAAATTACAAAAGTTGAGCTGCAGATGCTTAAGGTACATGGTCAAAGCTATACTGCTTCTCTAGATGTCTGATATGGATTTACAAGTTAATGCAATTTACCTTCCTTGCAGTGGGCAGGAGTCCATTGTGCTGGGAATCCTCATTTTTGGCTGAATGCTGATGGGACATACCTGGAGGAAGGGCAGAAGAATGTAAAAGGGCAGATTTGGGAAAAGGTGATTTTCTAATGCTCATCTTGTATTTCCATAACCTGTAGACTGTTCAAAAATTGATGTTCTGATGGTTTCTTACCTGCAGCCTATTATGAAGCTGCTCTGTCCTGTTCTTTCATTGCCTTTTCCTAGTAAGGTTGCAAATCCTTCTGGTGAAGAGGTAAATAACTTGTTCAGTAGAGCTGTTCCTGACTGCTTTGATACAAAAGCACTCCAGAAACTTCTGTTGGTTGGGCACCATGAATCTGGGACTAGTACCATTTTCAAACAGGTACTTATGACGAACGCTTTACAATCAAGGAAAAGAATCTCATACTTAAGCCAGTAATTGTTTTGTACAATATGTTGATGAATGCTTCTGTTTTCATGTTTGGTTCAGCCAACTACTGGAACCATTTTGCCAAAAATCTTGTTTAGTCTTGTAAAAAGTACATCGGTAATTAGAGGTTGTTGCTATTTAACATGTTTTATTCTCCATAATACTGGTTTTCTTTCTAGACTGTTATACTTGAATGGAACTTGCTCCAAGTAATGCATGCTTTGAAGTCTGTCTGCATGTAGCCGGTTAATGACTTGGCCATTTGTTATGTTTTGGAGTTCCATGCATGTTTTCTGTTTAGATAATGAATTGCAGCCCCTGTTTTGAGTTAATTTATGTGGATTTCTTTCTTTACCTAGTGTTCATAATAAGGTTTAATCTCTTGGCCCAATACTAGTTTTAACAGAGTATCAGATTGGTATGATACTGATCCACTAGGTGGTATATCGACTTGAATACCATCCGGTGACAGTGAAAGATAATAAAAAGATGAAAACCAACTAGTACCAAGCTATATAATCTGGAACCTGTCCTTGGTTGGACTCGTATTTGAAACCTTGATTCATACTTAGTAAAAGACCATGGTATTTGGTACCTGTCTTTGTATTGCTGTAATCTTTACTGTTTGTTCGTTTATTGGTCAGTGGTATCACTATAGCATCATAAACAACCCTAGAACTATCTTATACATGTTTGAAGGTTTAGAAAAGAAGTATTTTATAATTTTAATTGTTACGTGTACATCCAGTGTAAGTATATCTTGGAGAATGACAATTTGATATTGTACTACATTTTCTGTATATGTCATTTATAGCTGGCTACTGAATTTGTCATCTACTTTATCAGGCTAAGTTCTTGTATTCAAGTGTTCCTTTCTCTGAGGATGAGCGTGAAGATATTAAGCTTATGATTCAAACCAGCATATACAACTACCTTGCCATACTGCTTGAGGGGCGTGAACGGTTTGAAGAGGAGAGTTTGGATGAGCAAAGAGACAAGCAGCATCTAGATTCTTCAGGTATGAGAATCAAATGCTGTTCATGGATGATCATCATGCCAGTGTCTTGTTCATGCATGTGTCTAACTTGTGGTACTAATCATATGTAGTCATCTGGCATACTTCTTCTTGGTTCCAACATCTTATGATTATTATTAAAAGGTTTTTATTACTTTTCAGTCCCTTCATTTTGGATTATTTACTACTCATCCACCAATTTATCACTATTTACAATCCAACACGAATGTTATTAAAACCATGGTATTGGAGCATCCACATAATATGAATCTTCAAGGAAATTGCAAGTGGTTTAAACACTGGTCAGACCACAACATACTAATTGTTATTTGCCAATCCAACAAGTACTAGGACCTAAACATTTAGCTTGATGCTAGTACAATGTCTTCGTTTCAAATCTTTTACTTTTTTATTCAGCGGTATTGAGCCATGCACATTGGTATGTCGTTAACATAACAGTCTGATTATGAAAGCCAGTGTTGGATTGATATTTAAATCCTTGGAATTTGACATTTTTTATCATATTTAGATTCATTATAATATATTGGTAAAAAGACCCACTTGTTTTGTTCTAACAAATTCAAATTAAATTGAATAAAAATAAGATTTAAACTAAGAAATGAAGAAAACATTAATTAAAGTATAATGATGCCATTTCATGTCACATGCTTCTGAAAACTAAAGGATAATAATGCTATTTCATGTCTACTTATGATTAAATAGTGGGTTATATTAAGATATATTATAATAACTAACAAAGATAAACAACATAGGTCAACTATAAAATTAAAATTATGAGAATGTGAAGTGATAAGGAAATATGCTAAAGTGAAGGGACTGAACCGTAAGTAACCCTTGGTATAAACCAAGTTCTTATTTCTTAATGTGGTCATGCTGAACTATATGGCACAGTGTGGTCTTGGGGACGACATCAGGACGATTTTCTTTATCCTTGGATATGGTCTATTAATGAACCGTGAATTGCTTTACTATGGTATGGTGCCCATACTGGCAGGTTGATTAGTTTGGTCATTGACAAGTTGTGGAACTATTGTTTCAAAATGAGTTTGCAACACTAATAAAATACCTATCCTTCATGTCTTCAGGTTCAAGGAACCCTGGAACTATTTCTTATCCTAACTAGGAACTATAGTTATGTGTAAAATAACTAAATAATAAAAATCTACATCCATTGGTAACAACATTCTCAATTCACAAGCTCATTAGTAGCTTTGTCATAATACTTTAGCTTGCTTACTGATCATTTGTCTCTCATCGCTGGATCTTCCAGTTGTTTCTAGATTTTTAATTCAGTTCAAGTGGCTTGTCTCTCTTGCATATCTTATTAGTTCCTACATTTAAATATTGACTTAGTCACTGAATAGGGAATACCATGAAGTTTTTGCCTAGTATGATGTGACAACAGCACTGATGAACTTATCTGGTGGGTACAATATTGAGATGCATACGTTGATGTATTTGGATAATATTGTTTAGAAAGATATGCTCCTTTATCATAGTATATGGTTTGCGCTGTATCCATCTTATCTGTTTGTTGGGTTGTACTCTTGGCAAATTACTTTCTGTCCCTTGTCTGAGTCTTGTTCAAAGTCTAAAATTATGCATGGGAAATTACACAATATCTAAATCCTGTGATTCATATTTTGTTGAATGCAGGAGATGTTGCATTTGACAAACAGAATAAGGTGACAGAATATTCCATCAGTCCACGGCTAAGAGCATTTTCTGATTGGCTTCTTAAAATTATGGCTTCTGGTAACCTTGAAGCTATTTTCCCAGCTGCTACTCGAGAATATGCACCACTCGTAGAGGAATTGTGGAAGGATTCTGCTATTCAAGCTACATACAGTCGAAGAAATGAACTTCAGTCGCTCCCTAGCTATGCCAGCTACTTCTTAGAGCGGGTAACTTAGTCTCTGTTCCATTTTTCTGTTATTCTGAAACTTGATGTTTGAACATGAGTTTAGGTTTTATTCCGATCAGATAAAATTGACTACATTAAATATGATTATTTTATATGTTCTTAAAATATGTACCTTGTATGTTGATGTATGTTACAAGAGGAGAAATGTTACTTTAGAAAGCCTGCGTGGCAGAAATACTGGGTAGAATTCAGTGTTGATGTAGTTTAGAGGGACATAGAAACTATTGCTATAATGCTTATTAAAGATGTGCTTGATAGCACTTAACAGGCATTTATTGAGCTTCAGTTGTCCTTTCGTAAAACCTGCAATATAAATATAAATATAAATGGATAGCTGAATCGGTCTTCAAATTAGGTAGGTAGGATGTGTCTTCTGACCCAATTATTGCAAGTCAAGTTCTTGTTAGGATTTTCAAGTTAACAGAGTGAACAGATGAGAGAGGTATAGCTCTTAGTGCACAATGATAAACAGAACACATTAATCACTATTGATAGAGCATAAAGGGATCTGTGATTTTCAATTACATTGTTCATAGGAGTAAGCAAAAGTTCTGGAAAACTTTTGCACAGTGACTGTATTTCATAGTGAATTGCCTTCTTGCTTGGATGCAAGATGCATATATGAAGGCTCAATTCATCAACGTTGACAACTACTAGATCTATTAATGACACAGAACAGGGAACAACTTAAGTATCTATAACTAGAGGCTTGAGACACTCAAAAAATTGATACAGGAACTTCTTAAAAGCACGAATAAACTTGACAAACACAAATTTTGGGAGCAGAAATGGTGAAGACACCTAAGTTTTGCTTTCTTCTGAACTCTGGTTGTATCTATAGCGAAATCATTACTTTTTAAAGTGCTCCTCATGTTATGAGCCTCCTAAAGCATCAACAAAAAAGCTTCAAACATCTACTTTTGTCTAAAAATCACAATAAATTAAGACATATAGCAGTCAAATTGCCCTTTTAAGAAGTGATATATATGCTGGAAGTTGTGGTTGGAAACATCAATGCTGATTTCGTGGTCAAAACTTATTCTAATAATGTTATTGGAAATTCTTCAGGTTGTTGATATATCCAGAGCCGAGTATGAGCCCTCTGACATGGATATCCTCTGCGCTGATGGAATAAATTCTTCCAACGGTGTAACATACGCAGACTTCCCATTTCCATGTTTGGCTTGTGTTGGAAGTAGTATTGATGATGATGATCAGCAGGAAGCATTGTTAAGGTGGGTTAGTATTATCTGCTGTTTCTATTTGATATTGTAAGATGTTGAAGATGTTTATATATGGATGTTATAGTTTTTGGTTTAAGCAAGGTTTTAAATACCAGTCTTTTTTCGGTTTCAACAGTCCGTCGCACTGGTTTGGTATCAAGATCTCGAGTAGTATGTCAACCTGTACCATCTGGTATCAAGTTTTTAGTGTATGATTTCATTATTGGAATAGCCATATTGTTGAGCAGTGAAGTTTACCTAGACTTTATTCTTCATGGGCTAGTTTGTATGCTGCTGACAATTCTTTTATACTCTTGTTGATTCCTCGGTTTAAGACTTTTACATGACCCATCTAGACATACAAGATGGACAACAATTTCTAATTTAATAATGCAATGTTGATGATGAGAAATTTCTCATTAGCTAATAAAAGTGATGCCTCAACTTTTTGACCTCTCCTTTGCTGTAGGTATCAGCTCATCAGAGTCCATACCATGGGCCTTGGAGAAAATTGCAAATGGCTGGGCATGTTTGAAGATGTCAGGATTGTGATTTTCTGTGTTGCCGTTACTGACTATGACGAATACTATGAAGATGCAAATGGGATGGTCAGGAACAAGATGATTGAGAGCAGAAGGATCTTTGAGGGCATCGCCAGTCATCCGACCTTTGAGCAGATGGATTTTCTTCTGATACTCAGTAAAATTGACTTGCTTGAGCAGAAGTTGGACATGGCCCCTCTAACCTTGTGTGATTGGTTTGATGACTATAATCCTGTAGTAAGCTATCATCCAGATAACAAAAACAGGCGTGGCGCGCAGATTGGTGCCACCAAGTCTCAGCAGGCTTTTCACTACATTGCTGTGAAATTCAAGAGGTTATTCTTTTCCATCACTGGGAGGAAACTCTACGTTGCGCAGGCAAATGGGTTGGATGGAGATTCTGTCGACGCAGCACTTCGGTATGCAAAGGAGATTATCAAGTGGGAAGAAAGGTTGGTCTGTGGCATCCCCGAATCGATGTACAGTACAGAGCCAAGCTCCTATTCTCACTGACATTTTCATGAAACTCAGCTGTAAATATATATAGTCCTCTCCTTCGCCTTCATTGTTGCCTTCCTTCATCGAAATGTCTTTGGTTGTATATGTATGTATCCATTGTTTGTAACAGCTCATTGCAAGAAAAAAAATCTCTAGGATCTATGCTTTTAGAAGATTCAAGGATCTTGTTAGTGATGTGTACCCTACTAGTAGATTCTGGTATGCAAGTAAGCTCTTTCCTTGTCTTAGAAAGTTTCGTTCTCACATCAGTTAAATCTGTGTCTCTTCACAAAACTATTTTTCTTTTCGTTCTCACATCAGTTAAAAGTAAGCTTTTTTTGTGTTTTCTCATCCTTTCCATTCATGAAAAGTGAGTGCAATATAAAAGGGTGTTTGAGTTGCAAGATTTCGACTGTGGTAGATCATGTGAAATGTTTATTCATGTCATGAGAACAAGATGTAACGCCCGATTCTTGTGATTACTTGCTGTGGAGAGACTTCCACCTTTTCCGATACATCATGACTTGGACTAAATTGGACATCATAAACTCTCATAGATTCTGAGTTCAGTCCAATAGATCGATACTTCTTCTTCTTCTTCGGGGAAGAGAGGGAACAAACAGCTAATGGGTATCAGCATACAACAATTCCTATCATATTTACTCGACGATACGAAACCACAAAGGATCTTTCAGGGATCAAGCGGGTGCGAACCGATCCATGAGAAGGCATAGCGTGGTTTCCGAGAGGGCCACGCTGCTGTTCCTCCTCGCCTTGACCTGTGCAGTTTCTTCCTCCCTCGAACGCAGCTCGCCTCTTATCTTGCCTTCCTCTTCCTCATGCCTCGCCAAGCTGCAACTCGGTGTGCTCCGCTGCTTCCTCCCGAGCTTAGCCATCCATATTCCAACGAGGCCCGACATCTCTCCTCCCCTTCAGAACGCTTTTTGTTGGAGCAGCAGCACAGGTTTTGGTGTGATAGGAACACAGCACTACTCTTCCATATATAAAGGGAGCATATCTATGATTGTTTTGATGCAATCATATCGTAGGATGAACAATGGGCAGCGTTGATTCCTCTGCCCTCAGATGCCAGAGGGTGACTGCTAGGAATATGTCCTCGAGATTCTTCCAACAAGTCATTTTAGGATGGTATCAAATATCTGCACTGCTTCGAGTCATCTTTTTTTTTGCCTTTTCTTTTCTTCCAACAACACATTTGTGATCGAAATTTGTCGACCATTTGCATTCTTGATATTTTTGGTTGAGGTCGCCATCAGCTCAGAAAAATCAAGGCAGATTGTGGTGGCCTTTCACCATCATCAACACAAGGATCTTGTCGAGCCAGAGATGAGAAGATATATGAAGCTTTAACATCTTTTGAGAGTTGCCTTTTCCTCCACCTTTTGTACATCTTCAGATTTATTTTTTCTCTACATCTGCTTGAAATCATACAAGAAAGATGCTGTGATTGCTGCTACGTGTTCCTCATGGCATGGCTTAGTACTTTGGCTTTTCTTTTCTGAAACTGGTGGCAGGTGATGATTACAGTACTGTCGAGTCATTTTGATGTGGAAAGCTGACTTCTGTTCTCTTTGAGGCGTAGAACACTTGGGCTTCTGTCGACCCTCAAGCCTCTCACTTCCCTTGTCGTTCTTTCAAGGAAATATGATATAATTAATAGAGAAGCCATTATTCACCGCATCAAGAACATGCCTGCCTACCCCTTCACCAACTAATCATCCGGTTCTTGGACTATATTCCCCATACAGATGACATGCAAATGGAGTAGAATCTCATCGTGGATATTGAAAGGAAAATCCAATATAAATTTAGAATGTTATATTAGATTTGGACTGGTCTCATAGAACTCTCACAAAAGCATACACAGCACACCTTGATCGGCTTCATTCCCAGCCAGATTCTGTCCGAAAGATTGACCAGATTTTACATGTACAATGCTGCCAGTGTATATGACTCGCCAAACATATTTGTCTTTGCTGTGGCTCATGGCATCAATCCAAGCAAAACTTGAGAGTGGGGGGGAAGAACAAGATGCAACCAAAAGAACACACTTCTCTCTGAATCCCACAAGGCTTATCACAAACACTTGAGCCTCATCTCGCAGGAAGCTTCTGCGTTCTCCTTTTGCCAACTCTGGCGGCCTAAGGTGATCTCAAGGTTGGGCGTCTTCGTCGTCAATGCTGTAAGACCATCATCATCATCAGCAGCAGCAGCAGCAGCGAGCATGGAGTTTGGTGCATCTAAGTTCGACCCAATGAGTGCTTCCTGTTGGTCTTCCACCATTGCCTGTTCGTTCACAAAGACTGAGTCATTGTATCAGAGCACAAAAAGACACTTGGAGGGTACACTTTCGGCCTGTCTCTTTAGGTGCTTGTTTCTTGCAGGTCATCGTTTATCGTTTGATCATGTTATCATGATCCAAGTTGATCTAATATACCATTGCAGTCAGGATTACACACACGATGTAAGATTTCTAGTTCGAGATTGCATCTTCGACGCTGCTCAAACACATATCACTAAAGTAAATAACAAACACAATGACAGAATTCATGTCCTGGCAATGGTAAAATATAATGTATCTGAATGTACTATCAAGTCAATGAATTGTAGTATAAGAAATCGACAGTGACACGCATCTGCTGCATCCTCCTTTCACTTCATTGCAACTACAGATGCAGATAAGAAACTTGGGGATGTTGGCTACGTACCTGAGTGTCACTGTCGAGTAAATGATCACTGCTGAAGTAGGGATATGGTGACACTGCATTTTGGTTGGTTGATGTGTTCCAAGCTTTCCTTTCTGCGGATGGATACAGCAAGCTGCAAACACAATGAACTAATGTCCTTATGAGATCATAATATGTTCATGATCATAATCAGCTTGCTGTCATGCAATTATTTTTGTGATGTGTGAAGGATGAGAGAGATAGCAGAAAACTTCAACAGCAGCAGCAGCAGCAGCAGCAGCAGCATGCATGCACAGTACTCACTGTCAAAGCTGCATCAAGCTTTGACAGGTTTACCAATCATAATTTGCTTGTCTTTAACCATTGTTTGTAGCTCCAACCACCACCAATTAATGTTGATGAGATGGGGACAATGTGGCGTCCTAATGTCCTGATGAATGAATAAATAAGAGGACATAACAATCTAACTTTACATATATATAAGTGAGAATAGATTGGAGGACAAGAACAGGAGTCCCTCTTTTAGCTTCCCTACTTCATGTCCTCTTCTACTATTAAGCACAAACAAAAGAAATTTATTTTTAATTATTCTTTTGAATCCCTCGGATCTCTAATTGTGCCATCAAATATATCTATTCCAACAACAACATTAAGTGATAATGATCTTATTTGTTGATATCGGGTACATGAATCTTTTATCGTCATTAATTATCAAATAATAAATAAATAAATAAATATCTAAATATTAAATATTAAATAATAATAATAATAATAATCTTGTTAATCGTTGCTAAATAGGATACATTCGTATTATATATTAACTTTCCAAAAAGTTGGTAGAATTCTATTAAAAGGAAATATAAGCATTGGGATATGATCAATCGATCGATAAGTTATCCTGTAAAAAAAAAAAGCTCAAAATATTTTCTTTGGGGAGGGACAACATTTTGTTTTTACAAACAAAGGTCATATTTTCCCATTTTTGACATTGATCTATGTGGTTTTGTAAATATTATTTGTTGATTCAATATGATATCTTCATGAGCCACTACCAAGAAAAGGAAAAACTCCTCTTTGGGATAAGATGGATAGTAAATTAGTCAATTAATGGGAGAGAGAGAGAGAGAGAGAGAGAGAGAGAGAGAGAGAGAGTTACAGCTAAAGAGTAATTGGATATCACATTTGGATTCTACTCTGATATAATCAAACAATTTCTTATTCAAAGTGAGTAAATCACAGCCATAATATCGTTGGATAATTGTGTCTAAATCTAGAAAATCATAATCATTACTAATGTTAGTTTATAGAATTGTCATATAATAAGAAAACCATTGCCAGTAGAGGAATCCCTACCCATTTATTCCTAATGGGTTGGTTTTCCTTCAAATATTTGGCAGATGGAGATGACAGAGGAAGATTGGAGAGAGAGAGTGTGTGTGTGTGAGTGAGTGTGCAGTATAAATGTTGATGCAGTGAGGAGAAGATGGTGAACAGACCTTGGTGAGTTGAGTAGTGGCGTTGGTGGAGTTGGCATGGTGAAGGAATTGTGAGAAGGGGTGATCTCATTCCCAGCTTTATCACATGGCAGTCCTCCCTCCACTTCCTCCACCCTTGTCCTCTGGTTCATGCCCATATCTGCCTGACCTTGGCCTGCAAACAATTGCATACCCACCACTAAGATCCAAATGGTGGTGCTTTATGGGACAGCAGCAGTCTAATAATTCATGCAAGGAAAGGCCAACCCAACCCCCAGCCTGAGATGACTACTGGGTGATCCATGGTCTCTGCCTCCCCCATAGAACAAACACCTTATTGTGCAAGAGAAAGAAGAAGGTACGAGTACCTGCCCCTCCTCCTCCACCACCACCTCCTCCTCCTCCTCTATCACTGCTCTTCACTGTTCTATACATCTGCAACAACATGCACACATCAAAATTAATATCCAACCAAGCCATATATGCTTAGATTACTTCGACATACGCCCTTTTGTCCTTTGTACTTGTGTATGCACGTTCCGAACCCTTCCCTTTCCTAACCAAACACAAAACCCTAACCCTACAAGTGATCGTTTTAGATCAAGAGGCGACTTCGACTTTTGTACCTGCAGATGGCTCTTTACATGAGCCAGCGTTAGATCCTTCACGTTCATCAGCTCCAAAACTGATTTCGGTGTAGCTCCTGCATGCCAAAATGAGGATCTTATTATGATGTAACAAAGGTGTCGTCTACCAGAGTGAGGAAGGTCGGGTTGGCATACTCACTCTCATGGCCGCCGAGGAGCTCCACCGCATGAACGAAATGAGCGTGGAGGGCGGTTGTCCACCTCATTCTGGGAGCCCTACTGCTCCTGCTTCTTCCGTGGCTGGATCGCGGATTCCGCTTGAATCCAAAGACCTGAGGATGATGTTGATGGTGGTGGTGGTGGCGGCTGTCACGGGAACCAGTGAGTGGCACCTCGATCCCTAGGGTCAGCGTCGGCTCACCACGGCTAGCCTCCCGGCCCTGGTCGCAGCTCAAGGAGGAGGGTTGATCATGGCTCATGTCGCTCTCGCTGCTACCCGACGCTGCGGAATTCTGGTCCCCAAATGAAACCCCCATCATCGAGGCTCCATCCACGGAGATCGATGGTGGACTGATGTGCAGTGAGAGATCAGGGAAGATGGTTGCCATTTGTGCTCAAAGATGGGTAATACACAAAGAGCAGGCTGAGCTTTTTGGAAGAACCAGCGGGAGGTTGGAGAGTACTTACTGAAGAAAGAAAAGGAGAGGTACTGGTGGGATAAATAGAAGAAGTGTGGCAGTGATTAGGTGATGATTTCCATGGGAGTCATGCTAAGAGATGATGAACCATAAAGTACCTAGAGAGAGAAGACCGGTTGAAAGTGGGAGAATGGCAAATGTCAAGTAACTAGATGTGAAGCAATTGCAGGGTTCCCAGATATCAAGGCAAGAATTTGGACTAACCTCCTTAGAGAAAGAGAGAGAGAGAGAGAGAGAGAGAGAGAGAGAGAGAATATATTTTAAAGAAGCAGATGTAGAATACGTAGAGTGTGCAAGCTCACTTTCCTCTTCCATGAAAAAGAAGGGAAGAAGGGTGGAGAGAGAGAGAGAGAGAGAGAGAGAGGGAAAAAGGAGGACTATTCATTGACAATAACACACTGGGACCTAATTCTCCCACTGTCTCCTGAGGTGCGCCTGAGTTGGAATCTGGTGGGGGATTGGGACACTGCCATTAAGCTAAACAGTTAAAAGAAGGGGCGGAGGGAGAGAAAAAGAAGACAGCACCGGAAGACATGTCAAAGGTTAGCGTTGCTTTAACCTTTGTACCAGGAAATTAGTACCGAGAACCGAAGAAGAAGAAGGCTCATGGTCCCCCTTCCTTGGAAGCTTATTGACGAGGGGGGTGATGGTGTGCTCGCTGGCTAGCTAATAAGCTCGTAAAGCTTCTTCCTACACCCACCAGTATATACGTACTGCTGCATGTGGAGTTCCCCCATGCACATGTTTGGACGCACGCCATCCCTTCCTCCCCACACGTGCATGTGCGGAGGCATCATCATCATCATCATCATCGGCAAAGGGAATGGTGGCTGGCTTCACAGCTCACATCCCCTTCCCCTCACCCCTCGCGCCATGGCTGACACCGGGTCGGGATGTCCGTCGACACCGGAGCTGGGCGCCACGTGCATGGGGTGGGGAAATCTCGTCTCGTCTCGTCTCGGCTCGGCTCGGGCCGGCCGATCTGGACCCCCGCCCCCAGCATTGTGTCCTCCTCCCTTCCTCTTTGTCTTCCTCCTCCCCTGCTGTCCAAATATTCTCGAGCTTCTTCCTCGAGGCCACGTTATTACTGTGACAACGCACGACGAAGGATGCCAAACTGAGGGCGAGAATCATAATAATCCTATGGCAAGCATACGAGACAGGTGAGGTACCGAGATCATAATAGAATGGACAGTAGCATGATTGTTTTTATTCCATGCTACCGGTGCAAGAGTGGAAGAAACAAGGAGGAAGAACTTTTCGAGCAGAGTGTTAAAAAGGTAAGAGACTGGGGGTCCATCCTTTGTTAATGGAGATTTCCAAGCTGTGGTCAGCGCCAGACGCGGTGATCTCCTCGGGAAGATGCAACCTTTACTGCCACTTTTGCTCATCACCACGCTCCCCATGCTCTTTTTATTTTGGCGTGACCACGTCCTTCCTTCCTTCCTTCCGACCATCCATTACCGGCCTTATAATCAAATAAAAGAAAATTTATTGCAAATACTGTTAAATTTACTCTAACTCAAATATAAATTTTCCTATATATCCTCTCACATAAATTTCAAATAATTTCTCGATATGTTACTCTTCTTATCAAGATCTAAATATACATATAATATTTATAAAAATAACAAAATTTTAATTTTTAAGGTTTTCTTCCAAATCCTTTTATACCAAGATTTCTTATCCAGATAGGATATTTGATTTTTAAAACATAAAAATCCTTATCAACTTCAGAAACTAATAGTTACATTGTCCAATTGTTTCGATACATACTTGTATGTGTAGTTACTAATTATAATTACAATTAAAGCAAAGGAAGTGTAGAATGGTGCACAAAGAGGAAGAAATGTTGGGACTGTGATGGAGGAGAGAGTGAGAAAGAGTTGTCCTAAAGTAATTTTAACTCACGTATTGGTATGCAAGTATAACATGCAAAGATTGGAGTAACATGAAATTACAAGTATATATACTTGTAAGAAATGAAATGTTAGATCTTGTTAAGACCAACAAAAATTGGAGGAGACTATAGTTAGATGGTTTAGGCAACATTGTCGACAGACAACTTCCAAATCGACACATAGGATAAACAGCTCTTGAGCAACTCCAAAATTCCATAGTTAAAGCCTGTAATGCAGTCAGGTCATTAAGAGAATTCATTCTTTTTGTCCCCAACATTGTACAACTTAAATCTTATCAGACTACCTAGTGAGCTCCAACATGTGGTTCTGCTTAACTTGAGCTCATCTATCTCCTGACATATCTTATCCAAACTCATAATACCCAACATTGGCACTTGAAGTTCCATGAAATGACTGACCAACTACCTGACTGAAGAGCGAGAGAGAGAAGACTGGAAATTTGTAGTCTCCTTTGTACTAAGTTGGTGCTTGATACCATGAGCTTCATCAAAAAACATGATGAAGCTCATGTCTACAAGGTTAATCTTGCTCCAAGATATCATCCACAGAGTAAAAGTAAACATGATAAAAGCGAGACATTCTTCTTCGGCAGCTTTGCACAGTAGTTCAAGAAATCCATGTGGTGCTCAATTTGTGTAGGCTTTTAGGTAAAGTGGCGATAGATAAAATGTGAGGAGGTGAATGTTGTGATGCAGGGATGTGAGAGAGACAACACAACAGAAAGCGACCGGCAAAGATGAGTCCTACATCTGTTGCTACAAGGAAAAGTTGGAGAGAGATTTCCTGCACATACGGAAATGGTTTTTTTAGCTATATGAGCTCATGTATTATATATACCATCTTTGTTTCCATGCTCGTAATTGTTCTTCGCAAAAACAATGGTCGATTTGGGAACCTATCTTATCGATCATCCATCTCACATTGGGTCATATGCAATCGAAGAAAGTTGAGTGGGAGTTAATATGAGTTTAACAGCAACAAGAGAAGAATATTAAGTAGGATTAAAATTCGATGAAAGCATGTTTATCGCAGAGATACTATTCAGCATGAAACAAATATCTATGGCAACTAATCGAAGGCAGAACTGCAGATGTAGTAAAGACCGATCGACGGAAGACTGTGAAGAAGAAGAAGAAGAAGAAGAAGAAGAAGAAGAAGAAAGAAAAGAATAGAAATAGAAATAGAAATGGAGTGTTTGTGGATCTGTGCCACTAAGAAGGGTAGTGAAAAGGAGGGACAGCTTTTCTCATCGAGTGGGTGATACGGAGTCGGGGTTGGTTGGGTCTGCTGCTGGGCGGGCACTGACTTCTGACGCGAGTTGGGACACCGGCGCTGCGAGCCATCGTGACGTGCAGGTCACGTGATCCGCGTGTGCAGATGGATGGATGACAGACACTCCGTCGTCTTCCGGAGAGGAGGAGGAGGAGGAGGAGGAGGATCACAACCGATGGAAGCTTTTGGCAGCCACTTTAAGGCAGTCGGGGGCATAAGAATCCACCATTTATTGTACTCTTTCATCTTTTTGTCTCTTCAACAGTTGTGTGGTCAAACTACAATCATACCCACAACAGTCATAAACATTGGAGATTAATGATTCGATCCTAAACAGTTTGCTTATTATTCCATATGATTTGAGGACAAATAATGTATGGAAGTTGGAAGAAAAATCGATTCACATCGAGTGGTTTCATTTTCGATTGATAAGAAGAAGAAATAGTTTTAGAACATAACTTATTCCGAGAAAATATTTAATTTATGAGTGCTATGATATTTTTAAATAATATTATTATAAAAGAATAAAGCAAAATGATCTCTCTCTCTCTCTCTCTCTCTCTCTCTCTCATTATCATATAATAGTGTCGTTCTTCATAAAACAGCAAGAGAGAGGACCACCGAGTGTCGTGCCCACAGGAGGCTTTTTAGCAGTAATAATAACACAGGCTTCCGTCAAAACCCCACATCGAGCACTCAATAATTGAGCTCAAAAGCTTGCCACCTTTTCCTTCTCCCCTAACAAGGAGAGCCCCACTCCTTTCACCTGCCTCGACTTAGCCCTGAAAAGGCTCGCCCAAATCTAGGGTTGGCTGCACCCCCTACGAATGAATGCAACGAAGTAGGCTGGCTGCTTGTATGTCTACCGTTCTTCTGCTGCTTCGCTGCTCCTCTTCTTCGTAGGAGGACGAAGACCAAGCGACACGCCCGCGATCACGTCCATGCCCGTCTGTCTCCTCGAAGGTTGGTGCAGACAGTATTAATAATACTGGATTGGAAGCTCCAAAGCCTGCTGCAGAAACAGATGCTCTTGTAGTTGTTGTACATGCATGCTCGTTGGATTTGGGACAGAATTAATGTCACTCCACCGGCAGGCAGGCACCATCGACGCTGCACTTGCCCATGGATGCATGGCGGCAGCACACTTGGTATTGGTGGATGGGTCTGAACATTGCACTTCTTCGCTGTACCAACTTCGACTTCACTAGGAGTGAGTTTCGCATCCAAACGCATGTTATGAAGATTTTAGCTAGGAGAAGAATCTGAAAGACGGAACTTATCTGAAAGATATGTGAACTAGGCTCTGGTCTTCGCTGTTACCACGATAGAGAGGAAGATTAAGCTGCAGGATGAAACTTGATGTATTGTTTCTTTACTCTTATTTCATTATATTGTAATGAACTGGTGAGGGTCCTCCAAAAATGAAAGTGAAAGATATCTATCAGTCGGGAAAAGCTCACGACATCATGATTCTCCTTCAATTGATAGACTTCTTTTAGTCTTACCGTCACAGGTTTGACTGAAGCAACAAGCACTTCCTCACAGCCGATTACATTAAGCTGCCAAAGCTATACATCCCTTTCAGTATCATATATACTGTAACCCAATGCTTATCTTTCTCTATCAATAAGAAATGATGCCGTCCTTGTCTGTACGTCTCGGTCTTCCAAAGTGGATTAGGATTTTTCGCTTTGTTTGTCCCAAGACATACATTAAATCGCCAATCTTTATTCTCATCAGACTGTCGCATCCCTTTTCCGGAGCTGTCTCATGGACCATATGGATGTGCTTGTATCTCGAGGTAGCTTCTTTCCGTGCCCCACTAAATGTGTTAGAATCTCCTCCTCGTTTCTTTGACTGGGTTTTAGGCACTGTGATGCTGTCGAGCATCTCTAAAGAAAGAGATGGAGACGATCAAAAGGTAGTATTCTTTGAGCATTCTTTCGTATGCCTAAAACAAGTAAGAGTTTCACCGTTGAAGCTCTCTTGTCGGTCAATGCCTACGCTTTGCTCACGACGACAAGTAAAAGTTTGCCTACATGTAGACTGCAGGACGTGCCTTTTACTTCCATGTTGGTGCTAAGAAGTTGCATCATATGTTAGCTATGTAGCAGACAGACATGTAAACCACACGCAGCAAAAGTTCGATTGGATCGAACAGAAATCGGGAAAGTGTGCTGCGGAGAGGAATCCATGGGCTCCATCGAAAGAGAAGAGACATCCATGGAATCTAACTTTAAGTTTCAGATGCATGCATGAGGAACGATACCTTCGTTCCACAGACTGCCGCATTGTCCACCGAGACATATCCTTTTTTCCATGCAGTATGGCGCTTTAAGATTCGCGTCCACTCAGAACCCGGGAACGACGTGTGTGGTGGTTTAGGAATCGTGCATCGGGCACGAGCAGCCCATTAAGCCCAATTATTACGATAAGGCATTTCGAGTAAATGGGCTTCTGATCCGGCCCATTATAACCATACCCAAGTTGACATGAGATGCCGCATTGGCCACCGACACATGTCCTGTTTCCATGGATATGCATGGTGTGCCGCGTCATGTCGCTTCAAGATTCGTGTCCACACAGTGATGCTTTAGGAATCGTGCAACGGCAAGTGCGGCCCATTAAGCCCAATCTTTACGATTAGAGATTTGGAGTTCATGGGCCTCTGAAACCGCCCATTATTACCAGTCCCAGGTTGACATGAGATGGACTTAGTTACTATCGACTTTTATTGGTAATCCTACGGTCTAAATTCATCAACTGGTTTTTATCCTCAATCTCAAAGCACACCACCTTCTATTCCCCTCGTAAACCCTAAACCCTTGCCGATGCCAACAGTTATTCTTCCTACTCTCGAAATGGCTTGGCGCGGATCGATTTCGAGATCGCTGCTCGCCGCCGCGCGGTCCTCGTCCCCCAGGTCGTCGCCGGCGGTCCCTCGCCTCCGTTCCCAGCCCGCCGCCGCTCCCCGACTCCAACGTCGGCGCATCTCCTTCTCCCCTCCCCGGTAAATCCACGAACCTAGATGCCTTCTATATTTCCCGGTGTCTTCTCCAGTTGTTTTGAACCCGAAGGGTGTTTCTCCGCAGATCTTTGGGACAATTAGGATGCGCGCAGTCCTTCCTTCCACTTTACAGCGTGGTGGCCGCGCCTCGTCTCACCTCCCACCTGTCGGTCAGCGCGAGAGCGTGCTGCGAGCTCTCTCAGGGTACCTTCCGTCGCACTTGTCAAGATCGTTAGCTGTTAAGTATGCCAAGTTGTAGAAAAAAGAAAAAAAAAGTATCTTTTTTGCATTTAGATGTGATGAGATATGTGGTTAGATGACTACGGTTTTAACGATTTTTTTTGTTGGTCTACTGTTCTTCATGTCTCTTCTTTCTTTTTTTACTCTTGAATTTGGAATTTGAGTTATGGTTGATACGAGGAAATTGGAATTGAGATTTGATAGGGAAAAATGGAAAAGATGGTTGATGCAAGAGACAGAGCGTCATCCCGGAAGACCACTGTCTAAGCCAATGTAGGTTTCCTCTTTTTCCAATTGATCTTCCAGCAGTTAATTGTGCTGCGAACTATTTTGAAGAGGAAATCTTGGGAATTAATTGATTTAACTTTATAGAAAGACAAATACTATTATCATTGTATACCTGACTCCTGAGTTTTAGGAAAATAATGCAACTTACTTTTGTTAAAATGATGTGATGGTCAATGTGGCTTTAGCTGTTGCCTATACTTATTGGATGGATATGTGTGCACAATATCTTGTGACTCCATCTTGAATGTTAAGAGGATATAGGATTAAAAAATTTTGTGATCCATTAATATTTCTTTCACCTTTGCTTTACTTAATTAAAATTTGATCTCCTGTTGAACATTTCTGTCAACTATGCACTAATGCTGGACCTTTCTTCTGGATCCTTCTACATGTTTTGAAACGGCATCTCCTATATCGATATGCTGAGTGGTAAAAGATCTTGTGTTTACTGAGTGCTTTTAGGGTGGCTTTTATTAAAGGTAGACTAATTTGTCATTCCTTTGTTGAATCCCTATTCTTAGTTGGTTTGAGATGGTTTTTGATTTTTTTAGGAGCAGGATGGACAGTAAATGAAAGACCAACATTTAGTAAACGAGCACTATAATGCACTATATATTTTTCTCTCTTTTTAATTGCCATTTCGTAACTAGTTATATAGATATATTGTATTAAGTTGGCAAGTGGAACTAAAACAAGGGAGCTGTTGGAAATTTTTTGCGTGCTCTTAGTGAATAGTATAATTCAGTCTTGGTGCCCCTCTTTCATTCATAGCTTATTGTAAGTGAGCTGGCAACCAATTAAATAGGTCAATATTACTTGTAAGCTAAACTTTGCTATGCTCAGGCACTGAAATCTTTTCTTGTCATGAGTCATACTATTAGAATGGATTTAATTCTGTCTTAATTAATTTTAATTAGTTTGAGAAGGTTAGGAATCAACTAAATAATCAGTTTGCTGCTGAACTGATTCACATAAAATAAAAATTGGCCTAATAGATAATACTCAACCAATAAAGCAATGACCGCTCTTCTAAGAAATCAAGTACAGGATTCATCATACCCATTGACTGTGACATGCTAATGGAGTTGGCTTCTGTAATATTACTGTATGACAGAAGTGTCATTTTATGTTTAATTGTTTTGTCATGAATGGTGTGGAGTAAATTCTAAACCAATTTATGTAAATACATCTACAGTGGCTAATCTTCGACTAGTGAGATGGAAGCATCCAGACCTCTCATATTTGTGTTCCACAGTAACACTTGATAGCATTAGCAAACATCATTTCTCATGGCAGCTTTCCCTGAGTGCATAAGATTTTGATTCTGATTGTTCTAGATTGCATCCATATCTTTAGTCCATGGATTGGGCTTCTGCATGTTACTTTATGATGAAGAAATGATATAAAGCATTCAACTTTTGCAATAAACTGCTGCTATACATCATGTTGCAGTTGGTCCCTGAAAGCATGTTTGTAATTTTGCAGGCACTTGAAGGAAATAGGATCGATTGGAATATTAGCAAGCGGAGGATTCTTATTAGGCGTAGTATGAGAACCGGCTTATGCACTAATTGGAAAATCAGGATGAACTACAAGTGATTTTTGCTTGTTTCATTAGAATAATTTCATAAGTATGCAATAAGTGTTACTGTTGCTTCTGGTGAAACATCAGCCATGATAATTATGTTACGATTGTGCCACTTGAATTTTTTTGGTGGTTTAATTGGTATCATCTGGCATAATGTTCTAGTCTCCTAAATTTGAACTTCTGCTTCTAGTTTCTTTGTGTTTTCATCTGGTATTATAATTATATATATATATGCAGCAATCATTTGTGGGGTTGATGAACAGAGCCACCTGCTTTGACCCAGAACAACCAACTAAGAATCAAGTAGGACAAGAACCTGATACAAGTACTTCTGGAGTGGGAATGCTGAAGTAGAAAGAAGCATACAAGAAGTAGAAAAGGTAACACAACATCAACACAGCAAATGAGAAACCTGCCATCAATTACATCAAGGTAATACAGAACTAGAGGTTTTTGAGGCCTGATTTTTGAAATGAGCTGTTCATTCATTACATCAAATAGTATAGCAATGAAACTAGCCCTGACTTCCTTGGTACCAAATGCCTCTCTACCATTTTGATATATGAGCAATCATTGTGAGGAGTCCCTTGTTCTTTATCAGCTCAAAGAGACAGACATCCCCTTCTTCTTCCAAGTTGTTGTCCAGGACCAATCTCTTCCAGTTACCCCTGAGGGATCTAGATTTGTTTATAACAAGGTAAGAGACAACCCACTTCCTCTTCTGACCTGGATCCTGAAGAATGATGCCTGTGGCTCTCACAAGGAAGAAGTGCTGCTGCAAAGGTGGAAGGAATATTATGCACAAAACCACAGAAAACAGCATTGCTCCAGCCACAAGAAAGCAAGAACATAAGTCAAATGATTAATAGATAATAATGATGTTGCCAGAGGCTGATGAACAATCAAGTAGAAATTTTAAGTTTACCTACTGGACAAGAGAGATTTAGATTTGCTGTTGCTTTCAATTTATATATGTATTCAAATTGGGAAAAGGATGAAGCTTATGTACTCTGCAGGGTTATTAAAAGTGTCTCTTATAAATCTTTTACACAAAAACAAAAAAAAACAGATGAAGACAGAAGGAACTTTTTAGTTTATGAACATGGAACTAAAATGCCAACCCACTAACATTTAATCCCAGCTTCAGAGATTGAATGATGAATATGTAGCTGAAACAGTGATCAACTTCCCAAGCTTTGTTTTCAAACTATTCTAATAGTAATGTTGCCCTCAGGTCTCATTTACTACCATTAAATATTTGCATTGATTGATGTATTAGCTTCTAGTAGCAGTATCAATCAAACAAGTGTTACATGCAAGAGAAAGTGGTTAAGGAAACCAGTAGAAATACCAGATAGAACTCTTTATGGAGATAGATGGCTTGGTTGCATCACAGCTACATAAAAAGGATTCCCTGGTTCTACTGCAAAATCTAATTGTGCCACTTTCTTCTGTTCTGCACCATTTTGATGCAACTTTGCAGATGAAAAATGGTTGATCTGCCTATTGCTTTTCATTCATTTTAAGTGTTGCTAGTCCCAGTTAATGGATCTTAGAACTTCCTAGGTAGGTATATATAATGGCAGTCTAGTACAACACAAGGCTTTAGCCATTGCAGTGATGATCTCTCTACTCTCATCATTTCTTGATTAAGCTCTGAGATCAGGATTTTCTAATCTACTCCAAATCCATTAGGAAAACAAGAAGGCAAGAAAAATAACTAGCTTTGATTCTTACTTTTTTGTTTTGTTTTGTTTCTTTAAGAAGATTTTTGTTTTCAAGAAAGAAACAAAAATTATTTTCCAAGAAAAGTCCAGCTTTTATGTATGACTCACAAACTTCAACATGATGATATTCTCCACAATTAAATTTCTTCCATTGTTCCTAGCAATCAATTCCACCAACCAACCATCCATGGAAACACTGCCTTCATAACAAGTACTCCATATATATATCCTAACAAGCAAACCTGAAACAACAAGTTGTCAAAGCTTTTCTATATAGGCACCTGCTTTAGCTTCCCAACTATAATTATAATCCAGCAAGGCATTGCAAAAGACATTGATTTAATATCAATCATTGATATAGAAGAAACCAGAATTATTTACATGTGGAAATCTACTGATAACTTCAAGCGGAAAATATTCAAAGAGGTTCGACAGACATCACAAGAGCTGAATTAGGTATTTGGTGTTGCCATTATTCATTCTCTATCCGGCAGTTTTGGTGACATTTTCATTTAATGCAAGGTACATTTTCTTATCGAGTTACTAAGAATTAAATGTATTGAAAGCTCAACTCATTCTCATCTTTGCCCCTTTGATGTTTTCTGAACATGCTCTTTGGGAAATAGAGTTTTTGGTACATTTATTTTCCTGTTGTGGCTTCTCTATGGGCTATGGTGCAGCAGAGGAGGTCATCCACTTCCATCTTGATAAGTCAGAACTTTTTGTCAATAGCAATTGTATTGTACTGAAGAATTTGATGGGTAGTTTTATTTTCCTTTTTCTAGGATTGGAAAGCATTCATCACAGGATGGGATAATCTGATGAGCAGTAACAGTTGTTTGTGCTCTACAATTTGTTGGTTCCAATGTTTTTACTCATGGAAAACTTCTATTAATATTTGACACTCTACATGATTTGGGAATAAGATATTGTTATGTTTATGATGTTTACAATGTGGTTTCCTCATACAATGAAACAAGATACTTCAAACTGGAAGCATCTACTCTCTCTCTCTCTCTCTCTGCTGCATGCCACCACATTAGGAACATAGAAAACACATGTATGCTTTTACTAATCTCTTCAATATTCTTCTCTCTGATCTAAAATAGAAATGATTAAGTACCAATTTGTTTTATGGTGTTGTCAACAGCATTCTCAATTTTGAACAGGAAGTATCTTCTATTGCTCAACTGTTTTCCCACTTGGAGTCAAAGAAAAACAAAGACAAAAGTAAGCTTCATAGACTTCAGATTTCTGTCACCTTCCCATGCATCTCAAAAGCATCTGCCTTGCAGAGTTGCCTTAAGCTCAGGTGCATTAATTTGTTTTCACTAGTAAAATAACATTTTGGGGCTTGGTTGATGAGAGGTATAATTGACATGCTTTGGAAGGCCAAATTGTTGCTCATCTTATGCTAAGATTTAGAGAAATTTTGATATCAATTCACAACTTTAATAAATTGGAATGTCATACTGTGCTTTAAGAAGTTCTAAAACAAATATTTGGCATCAGAGCATCTTAGGTTCATCATTTATCAAGTGGCCTCCCATATAGTTTGTGAGCAGAATCAATCAATCAATCAAGCAAGCAAGCTCTACTTATTAATTACTTTACATCAGTTCTCAAAAAGACTAAAAAATATTTATCCTTCTTTATCTGCATTTCACTGCATAGCCTTGCATACCATAAGAAGAACTGCCATGACTTGAGCATATGTATTTTGCATCAGCAATAATTGTTCCCTGTTATGCCTTGCCATGGCTGCAAATGTCTGATCTTGTTCTTGTATCTCGTAGGTTTGGCTTGTGGAAGCTTCTAAATGTGTCTCATTAGCCCATGGCTGGCAACTGTGATTCCAGCATCCAATACTTTCTTGATCTAACAACTGATATAGTAGAAGAAAGCAAGTATTTACAGTCCACAAAATTGGCTCTAGATTCTGCTTTTCTCATAACAATGTCAAGGTATTGATCCTCCAGTTGTTGATGCATCCTGTGGTTTTATGCTGGCTTCAACCCCATCATTACTTTTTCAGCTGCTCTCTGCATATAATTCCACCGCTGTCTTTCACTGTCAGCAGCCACCAGCAAGAATTTACTTTTTGGAGGTCATCAAACTCCTGTAGGAAATGGAGTGTTCATGTAACTTTTATCAATGGAGTACTTTTTATCTTGTCTTGACACCAGTAATTGCAGCATCTTTCCTGGACATAACTGAGACAGGCATGAGAACAGGAGTCATGGTACCAGGTCTTTAATTCATAGTGGGGTTGACAAGCCAATAGGGACAATTTTGCTGGTGTTGCTCTCACTTGGCCCCTTCAATTATTGAGATGGAGACTACCATCCTGGTAAACTAACAAGATTGAAAGACATTATGGTCAACTGAGGATTCAGACAGCAAATCCTGTGTATAAACAGATGGAGCTTCATGAAGGAAGAAGAAAAATATCAGCACATGCAGTGACTAATATTATATGTCAAATTTGGCCAACTCTTACAGAAAGAAAGAAGAGCACAAGGATGATCAGAATTACATCAAAATACAGCAAACTACAACCTGAGATCAAGGTGTACATTACCAGAAGTAATCCAACCAAGTCTGCACCATCTCTTTACCTCTTTCTGATCCTGAGAAGAGAGTGACAGTCCATAGCTAACAAATTCTTGTCTGAGAATTCAGGCAGAAGCCATCCTCAAAGCCAATATATATATATATATATATATATATATATATATATATATATATATATATATATATATATATATATATATATATATATATATATATAATGAACTGCATACTACTAATCTTACACAAAACATCAAGATCGGCATCGCGATCCTAGCCATTGCAGTAAGTCCAAATACAAAGGGCGCAAAGCTCATCATATAATGCTTTGTTGACCTACCAAGTTTACAAGCATATCTGGGAGGAACCATCAAACAACTTCCTCACCACATACATTCTGCAAAATAAGTATTGCTCAAAACAAACATGCAAGATCCTGCATCAATTGTAAGAAGTATCTGTTGGACAAGAATTGTGCAGCCCTCAGATGATGGTTAGTACTTAAACCAATCGTTTTTGCTCAGCTACACCAAAAGGGTAGAGATACATGGAACTACAATAGAAGCCATTTATCTTTCCATTGGTGGGCAATTGCCACTCGGTGATACCACTATTCAGACTCATGATTGAAGGGAAAATTTTCTACTAATTTTAAAAACAACAAACCAACTTGATCCCTCATGATTAGCATGAAGACTGTTAATTACAGTATTCTCAGGAAACACAAGCAAACAGAATGGGTGCTCCCACCCATTAGGTATTATCTTGGCACGTACATCTTATGACCTTGATTTCGACCAATCTATTGAATCCTGACAATTTTTAAGCTGCAATTACCATGTCTCAGCCGAAAAACACCATGTAGCATCTAAGATACATAGAGATAATGGTTAACAGTATATCAAAAGTGAAAAACTATTAAAAGAGAATACAACCATCAGAAACCCTTTGAAAGCATCAAGCAAAAGAAGCATTTACAGATATGAAACAGGCCCATAAGAATGAGAGTGAAAAATTGTGTTCCATCTTCCTATCAGAATGATGAGAATCTCATGATATAGCAGAACTATTTCCTGACAGTGCAAATTAGATTTACAAACATCATTTGACAGGGAAGAAGATCCATTCATAACTTTGTGATGCCACAGATTGCTAAGCAAACTCTAAAAAAGGGTTGCCCGGTGCATGAGTCTCCCGCCAATGCGGGATCTGGAAATGGACAATATACACGGTCATACCTCTACAAGTAGAGAGGTTGTTTCCGTGACTGATGTTCTGATCAGCCAGGTTGCAAATGAGCAGCCGTACAGTGAAGACAAGGCACCCTCAAGTTCTATGTCAAACAAAAAGATGGATACCTAGGAAAAGGTGAAGAATGAATAAATTCACGTGAAGCACCAGAATTTGTCATTTTTTTCGGATAGGGAGACTTGAGGATGCATAACAAATAGAGCAAAGGTTTATATCTTCCCCTTGTGCTTCTAATTATCTCCATTTCCCGATCAAACATTCACAGCGGTTCATAATTGATTCTTTTGCTTTGAGCAGCACAAGAGGTTGCTGGTTCACTTAAATCTTTGGAAAATCTGCAGAAGAATATTTCAGCAGCTATGTTTCTGAAGTCTCTGCAATGGTGGACAGTCCATCGGTCTCGATAAAAGCAGGATCCAGAAACTTGGCCACGAATGCCCACATCCTGTATACATCCTCAAAGTTTGTGAGGAACCCAAGCGAAGCAGTAACGACCTCCACCCTAGCCACAGTGTTCTTACTATTTTTCTTACTGTCATGGTGACCATTTGCAGAATGATGGGTATCAGTTAAAACTTCTCCATGTAAATGTTTTTGATTGTCCATGACCCTTACATGACTAAGGAAGCCAATGCCCAAGGAAATTCCATTTTTCTCACCCAGCTTTTGAACAATCTCTGGTTTGATCACTGCTCCGCTAGAATCCTTCACATTGAATGCCACAGCTGCACCCCTTTCATACTTGATCTTTGGGCCATAGATCTGGACAAGAGGCAAACTGTTATCCCCAGCCGAATCTCGTAATTGCAGCTGCAGTAATGATGTCACAAGCCAGTTTATCAGATACCGTAATCTCAGAGTTGTTTTATTGAGACCCATCATGTTCACATGATCAAGATGTCTGCATACTATTTCAGGCTCTAATCTGCCCCACTCTTCAGCATCATCGTCGTAACCATCACGAATGGCATCAACATCATCGTCATCATCATCATCATCGACTAGTGCATGCCCAGACACTTCGCCAGCATCAGAACTACGATAAGATACTTCTGTAGTTTTGTTGTCCTCCACGATGAAGGATACCCTTTGGTCCATGCTCAAGACTCGGTCATTCTCTTGCACACCCAAGAGCTTACCACCTGCAAATCTGTTGTTATTTCCTTCCCTCCTCCCTAACAGCCGAAACTCACCTTCTGTTTCCCTTCTTATGGCACTCTCTTTCACCTCCATATGGTTTTCAGGGAAAATTTCAGAAGTTAAGCCATTCTCATGACCAGTGTGCTGTCCAAAAACAGAACTCGAGCTAACAATTTTGCTCCCATTGGTAGAACAGAACTTCACAGCACGTTTTCCTGATGCTTCTTTCAGTTTGTGTTCTTCCTCAATCTCACTGACATGCTGGAAGCGTGCATATTTTGGGCCATTTTCTGAAGGTCCTTCTCCTGGGTCTTCCTTTACACGGTCCAGTTCTTGCGAGACTGATAGAACAGCTGCATCAAAGGATAGCACGTGATCATCAAAAATAGGGCTCTTTGACATCCTGGATGCAAGTTTTGGTGATGCCTTCTTATGAGTCTTCCTTCCGGTAAACCATGAAGGTGGTGCTGGAGACCCTGGCTTACCCTTGTTCAACTGCCCTGAGTGGTCTGATCCAAATGGGCTCTGACCCAAATCAATCCAGAAGGAGTTGTCGGACGATTCATCCTCACTAAAAACAGGGCTCTTCATGACCTCCCCGACCGAAATGCTCTCTGTCTCCTCAAAGATAGTACTGGCCCCATCACGGTCAGAGCTGTTGTCCTGATCCATCTCGCTCTCAAACACATCTCTCACCTGAGATGATGTGAATGCACCTGAAAAAACAGGCAACTGTGATCCTCTGTGAGTATCAGGCATGAAAGATTCATCATTCCCATTGATCGTTTCATCTTCAGTTCCATCCAACATATCCAGGCCATCCACGGAGTCACTCAAATATTGAGGAAACACAGGAACAATCCTCACCATTCCCGATCCAGTGCCACCATTCTGGTTCTGCAAGCATCCCATCACGGATTTCTTGATTAGTAGGCATCCAAAACCTGTCGGATCCAACCCAAACACCCGGTAGAAAGACGTGATGATGAAATCCGGCCGGAAGAGTGACAGGCCAAGAGAATCCATGTCCTTTGGGCCCAGCGAACCAGCATCAAGCAACACATGCCAATGATTCTGTTGAGCCAAAGCCATCCACTGGTACGAATACTTTGCTCCGGTCACTCTCGACTGGACTGGGAACACAAAGAGCCCAACGGCTGAGTCTTTCTTCTTCCTCCGCTTGCTAGAGATCTGCTTCCTCAGCTCTGTTGAGCAGAGCTTGAGCGTGGGCCACTTGAACCATGCGCTATGGACCTTGGCTCCCTTCTCCCGCGCACTCTGGGCCATCCAATTCACAGACTGGCTCTCATGATCAAACATCGTCAACAGCTTCTTGTTCGTATGAAATGGGTAAGTCTCGGCGAGCAATTTAAAAGCAGAACCTCTACTGAAAGTAAAAACTAGGCCATACTCATTCTCGGGAATGTTCAGGTAGTCCATTATCCGGGCCTTAATGTCGTGCTCGGCAGTGCCTTTCTCAGCGCCGCCGTACAAAGCATGGTTGCTCAAGTTAGCAGTGATCTCGGAGAGGCTAAAAGCCGAAGACTCCCAGTTCTGGAAGCTCTGAAGGTAGGAGAACAAGCCAAAGCCGCAGTAATCTAGGCATACCTTGGCGCCGGTTTCCGAGAGGTGACAATACTCGTCCAATCTCAGCCTGTCGATCCTGTTCGAAGAATGGTACTTCGGGTACATGGTGACGAACTTAGACAAGGCCTCTTCGAGGGCGGGGATGGAATCGGCAGAGTGGAAGGTGCGCTCGGCAGCGAGGGCTGTGGCCTGGAGAAACTCCCGCTGGGCGTTGAGGCGGGCAAGCGATCTGGACCGGCTGACGGAGACCTCATCGGGGTTGCCGAAGGCCTCGGGGTCCATGTCTTGGGTCTTGACGAGGGAACCATCCTCGGAGGCCTCCTCCAGGGCCTCCCGGAGCTTGTTCTCCTGCAGCTGCCGGAGCATCGAGGGCCGCCGCCTGGCCCCCTCCTCCGACGAACCCTTGCCGGAGCCACCGTCCCGCCATCGGTTCTTCTTGTCGAGGATGAGAGCGGCGCAGTGGGAGATGGGCTTCCATAGAGAGAGATGCATGTATACTGTTCATCCAAGCCCTCCAAGCCAAGAACCCTAGGAGGCCATCAGACCATCAGGTTCAGATCAAAACCCTAACTTGAGGAAAGGACAAAGAGGGTAAAAATCTGAGCTTTCTTCCAAAAAATAAAACCAAACTTCAAGGTTTTCAAGATGAAATTTTGAGGGCGAAAAGAGGGGAAGGAAAGAACCCTCGGTGAGGATTCAGCAGACTTCCACTTTTCGTGACGGTAACAAGTCAATAAAAAGGGGAACATTCAAACCCTAATCTCCGGGATTCCCATCGAGAACACCCAAAGATGCCGACTCTGAGAAGGCTCCAACCTCACTTATCGACGAGAAAACAATAGAGGAGATGAGCAAAGAAGTGGAGGAAAGAAAGGGGGTGAGGTAGCTACAGAACGGAGGAAGAGAAAGAAGAGGATTCCTCAGCACAAACCCCTTTTCCTTTTCCCACACCAGATCAGCGCAGGTCAAAGTGGCAACCCCCACAAAGTTGAACTCAGACCAAAGCAAGGACTTTGGAGGAAGAAAAGAAAATGGAACAGAGATCCAGCAAGTGTTCAACAATTCAAGCGGAGAACACCACCCAAAACAGATCAGAGATGGGAGGGCCGCCTAAAAGAACAGATCTTTCCCTTCCCACAGACAGCCACCGATCCTCTACTCCGCCTCAGGGATGACCTCTGCTTCTCTCACCTCACCTCTCTCTCTCTCTCTCTCTCTTCCCTTGCTCGCTTCTCTCCACCAACTCCCTTCCCTGCAGCACAATTAAAGACGGGCCATCTTTCCCATCATCTCCATTACTCCGGTGGTCAATCCATACAAACATGCATTAATTATCTGCCCCTCTCTGCCCGTTATAGCCACCTGCACAAAGACTACCCCACCTTTTGCTCCTCAGCTCTCAGTAAAAATAAAAAAAAAAATTCAAGTAAAAAATAAAAGAAAACAACTTTATGCTGCTCATCACAAATAAGATGATCATTGACTTCTCATCGAGCAACCCCCATTAAAGAATGTGAGGTGGGCCTCCTGCCAACTGTTGTGGTCTTGGCGTAAAGTCAATCGCTCTACCTCCCTCGCATCAAGCTCAGCTCAGATGCTGCTGCCCCCATGCATTGCCGATTTGTCGCAACACTCGCTGCATTTTTCCCCTCTCGATTCATCCTGCTCTTCGATTAGGAGCAAACTATACCTAAATCTCTTGAATGAAGCAGCAAATTGGTACAGCTAATTGGCGGCTGTGGTCTGTCGACAGCCATGAGATATGATGAGAAGAGACCACATGAAGATTGAGGTTAATCTTTAATGATTGATCGAATGAATGATTAATCGCCCACGAGAGAAAAAAAAAAAAAAAACCTTCATTTTATGTCTTATAATTAATCTTTCCTTGCTAGTAAATTTCAATATACTAATCACGAACATCCTTATCCAAGGATTGATCGAGAAACACATACATTATATACTACTACTACTACATATTTGTGTCTTTTAGCTACAGGCTTGTGCTCCAATGTCAAATGCTCTCAAAAGCAAAAGTCAAACATGATCAAAGTGACAGTTCCATTGAGATTTTTTTGGGCATAAGATCACATATTCTAATCAATCAGAAGGTTAAATTGGACCACGAACCATATATGATCATTTCAGTCATTATCACTATATCAAATCAGTCTCGTCTTTTAAAGAAAAAAATGCTACCTTATGTAATATGTATATATACACACACATATATATTTATATATGACTATTCTTATACCGAAACTTATGGAATCAGACCGAGAGCCGTATAGGAAGCCATCACATCAGGGAAAAAAGTCACATGGAAGTCAGCTCGTGGCTTGAATACGTTGAGATCGGAGAAGATTTTTCTGTAGGTCAGCGCAGGTTGCGTGCAGCTACTCCATCTTATTGATGCACTCAAAGCACAAGACTTGGTAACCTCGTGGGAGAAGGTTGACTGGAATCTAATCTCTCCTGTGCTCCCAAATTGATTAGTCTTTTTTTCTCAAGAAAAAAGAAACCCCAAGCAAGAGAGATAGATCCACTTGGACTTTTCATCATAGAGTTGCCAATGAGTCATCGTTCACTTTACAGCACAAACCTTGCACTTAAATGGTCGTATCAGCCGAGTGTGATTTAAAGTGGAAAAGTGTCAGCAGAGTTAAACGTACTTGATTATTTTAATCTCATGGCATATTTCACTTTTTATCATTGTACATATTAACATGTAAAAATGTCAACATATACATTCATATTTACTGCAAGATAATATATTTTCATTCTGGTTGTCTTTTGACTTTTTTGGCAGCTAATTCATATTTAGGGTTGTGTTTTTTACCCCCCAACATCGTTTTCTGCCATCCTTAAAAGCTCCTCCTTTTGCCTTGTGGACTCTTCATCTTTACGAATGGCTCCCGCAAATCTGAAAGCACAGTGAATCCTGCAGCGTGAGAAGCATCCGCTGATGTTTATGCCAAGTTTCATCGATGGGTGATGAACCAACTCAACTCGTGCGATCGGAAGAGTTTCTTAAAGGAGTGTGATCAGGTGAGATCCTAAACAGCGCGAGATTCCTTCTTCTTCTTCATCGATGCATGCACGGTGAGGTGTGTGCAGAGTGCGGCAAATTAGCCTGTCGAGGCTTAAACTATAAGGAACAAGTACCCACTTGCCACTGCCCACGTAACAACCCCACCACCATGAGATTATTGAATGTCTTCGGTGGTGGACTGGGGGAGTCTCTCGGCGAGAGCATGTCCATGGAACAGGCTCCACCTCGGGGGACTTCCTCCTGTGGCTGCTAACTCACGCTTCCCCTTCCCTTCTCGTTTGTTGTCATGCGTTTGCTCTCGTAGCTGATGTCTCTCTGCGCCCTTCTCTTCCACTGCCTCGTTCCCTAAGCGAACGGTGGCGTGAGCGTATGGTCTGAAGCGTCCAAGGAAGAAGAAGCGGAGTTCTATGTTACTGTTCTCTCTATCCTCCCGAGATGGCTGTCTTCCTTAGGGACCAAAACACCTCTTCCATTGATTTCGAGACTGCTAAGAAACTTTGGCCCACTCGGTTGGGAGTATCATCCACCCCCTCATGTTTAGTGGAGGGTGCTTTATGAATCAATCAAGGGGTGTCATCTTTCTCTGAAGTGGAGCTGAGACCCCAGCTCGAGTGCAACTGGTCTGTGGTCCCTTTCTCCCTCATGTTTCTCTGTCCCTTTTCCCATGATGGCCAATACCAGGTTTATATGAAGGTGGAGCTCAAATCACATCCGCAAAGTTCACGGTCTGTGAGTCAATTGCTTGGCCACTCTTGCGGTAGTGGGTGCCTTTGGATTTGAACTCAAAAACTGAGAAGCCAGGAGTAGGTTTGGTTTGGTTTCTTTTTGCCTGCTGCACAAGGCAGAAGCCAGTCCAAACCTCCGAGGTGATGGTGTTTTAGCGGTTTGTGCTCACTAGCAGTCTGAAACATCAGCACATCTTATTTAATGGAGAAACCTCAAACACGTAGATGCTGCTATTAAAATCCATGGTTAAGAGAGAGAGAGAGAGAGAGAGAGAGAGAGAGAGAGAGAGAGAGAGATAAAATGTTGCTTCTCGTGATACAATTGCTGGACTGCTGCATGCTTGGCTTAAAAGATGTCATGATGCATGCTGAGTTGTAAGATATTATTTCCATCGAAGTTTCCATTGTCATGCTTATTCCTCTCTGGATTGCATTCCATCGAATCGCATCACTTGGAACCGCATAAATCAAAAGAGCACTCGGTACCCTTTCGGGTATAACTGGGTCCGATGAATTCATAACCACATATAAAACACATCTAGTGGCCAAAGGAGTTCATCAATGACATAGTATTGATTTCATCGAGACATTCAATCATATTATTAAACCCACAATAATCTGACTTATTCTGAGTTTGGTCATCTCAAAAGGTTGACATTTACGTCAACTCGACGTTAACAATGTCTTTCTACATGGGACCCTAACTGACGATGTCTTCATGCAGCAACCTCCTGGCTTCATCCACCCTCAATATCCAAAGCATGTTTGTAAACTACAAAAAGCCCTTTATGGACTTCATCAGGCTCCAAGTGCTTGGTACACCGAACTTGACTCGTTTTTGACATCAATTGACTTCACCGACTCTAAGTCTGATACCTCCTTATTTCTTCGTCACCAAAGTGACAATATATTATATCTTCTAATATATATATGGATAATATTATTATCACAGGTAATAATCCTATGAAAATCAAGGCATTCCTCAAGCATTTAGCAGATCGATTCTCCCTTAAAGAATTAGAAATCTTTAGCTATTTTTTTAGAGTGGAGGCAACATACAATCTTCGGGCTCTTCCTATCACAACGAAAGTATATTCAAGATCTATTATCTAAAACGAACATGCAAGATGTAAAGACAGTTACAACATCTCTGTCTATTAGCAAGTCGCTCAAACTATGTGATGAAAGCCCTACTAACCCAACTCAATACCGTAAGTCCTTGGCTCCTTACAGTATTTATCTCTCACCCGTCCAGATATCTTATTTACGGTCAATAAATTATCTCAATTCATGCATCGATCATCTACTATGCATTGGTCTGCAATCAAACGAATCTTGCGATATCTTCACGGGACTATCAATCATGACCTCTTTTTTCGTAAACACTCCCCATTTTATCTCCATGCATTTGCTTATGTTGATTAGATAGGGAATTTTGATGATAGAACATCCACATCGGGATATATTTTCTTTCTTGGATCTAATCCAATCAGTTGGAGTTCCAAGAAGCAAAAGACAGTTGCACGTTCTACAACTGAAGCTGAATACTATGTCATTGCCACCGCTGCTGTAGAACTCAATTGGGTCATGAATCTCCTTAAGGAACTTGGCATCAACTTCAACTCTACTCCTACAATATATTATGATAATGTCAGAGCCACATATCTATGTACCAATCCGGTATTCCACTCACGCATGAAACAAATCGTAATTGACTTTCATTTTGTGTGAGAACAAGTTGTCAGACATCCCCTGTCCTTCCAAGATCGATGTCTTTGACAGGGGAGCATGATAACAGTCAAGATCTCCTGTCATAACAACCTCAACTACAGACAATATCTCAACTACTTGATGAGATATCATAAATTTGTTGAGAAAAATTCTCCATTCTAAACATGTATAAATATGGAGTGTTGTATATTATTTCAATCAATATAATCTTCTTTTTTTTCTATTTCACTTGTATCAATATGGAGATTGCTTGATTTTGATCCTAACATTATGGTTCATAAGCTGCGAGGTTGTCATCATGGGCTCATGGATTAATGACTACCAACGATCAGGAGTTCACCTGGTCGAACAACAAAGGCTGCAACATATGAACACTACGACAGTATTCATGTGTTCTCGTGTTCTTCTGTCTACAGTAATAGAGGTCGAGGAAGAAGGATACACCACCAAGGTGATCGGACAACCTAAGAATCTACCGACAGAAAATACTGGCCGAGTAGATCGTAGAAGCCAGCATGTCCTTAATGTCAAAATGAGAGCAGAGATATCTTGCAGGACTTAAGATGACAGACTGAACTAAACTTGGAAGAAGAGAGATACCTTTGCGTGTTGGTGTCCATATAGCAGCCATAGCAGGCTTCTGATTACAGAGCTTTAATTGTTTCTGATTCTGCTAGTTTCCATATGTTGCATCGCAATAAAGATTGTTACTGTCGTAGAAAGGAACTTTCTGCAGCTAGTCTTCCATTACGACGAAAGCTTCCCTCGTTGAAACAAGAAGGAATTCACACGATCTTTAGATCCTCTGTTAAAGCATATGACTTGAGGTGGCAGGAAGAAGACTCAGGCATGGTCACCATGCTTAGCTCAAGCTCATCCGTCTCAAGAGGCCCAAAACTCTTCTGCAGGCCAACTATTATTGAGTTCGCAGGCTTACTTTTGCTGTATCTTTATCCCAATAAAAAGTATGAAAAGGTTGACAAAGACTAGGCAATAAAAAACATCTCCTGCAAAAGAGATCACCACTCACTGATCATTGTATCTTCAACAGGGCATCTACTTGCACTCCACAAGGCCGCATAGAATCCACAAGTAGGACGACAAATCCAGTCTCCATCTTACGATGTCCAATTCTCGCATGTGTGATGCCATGCAAACCCAATTCAGGTTCGTAAGATAACAGTAGCACTCTGTTTCCGCCCCCGGAGAAGCGGAACTGTGGATTAAGATAAGGTCCGCACGCGGTAACCGTATCCCGCTGTGTCCCGCCCCCCGTTTTCCTCGTCTCGGGCCCCAATTGAACGCGAATCCGACGGCTCAGATTACGGCTTTCTCCTTCGGACCTGATTATAAAAATTCAAAGATAGAAAACACACCCATCTTATTCTACCCTTTACCGTACCTGTTTACACGTCACCTCATGACATGCTTCATATCTCTGAGGTTCTTTTCTGGGGGTAACTGACGAAGTATCGTTAGTCTACATTTTTAAAGATACTTCCTTTGGTTATCCTTATCCGATCTCCTCTCGCTTTCGGGTTTTGCTTGCATGAGACTCGGCTTCGCCTAGAAGAGGGGCTGCAGAAGATCGAAACTTGGTGGTGAGAAGAGAAGGAATTGAAAGATTGAGATGCTCGGATCGGTCGCTCTACGATCTCCGCCGCTCCAGATCAGGCCGGGTTACGTGTGGGAAGCCGCCGCGGCCGACCTCTCGTCGTCGAGGCTGGCGCCGAGGTCGATCGTCGTCTGCGACGCGCAGCGGAGCCACGGGTCCATCCCCAAGCTCAAGCCTTTCAGCAGGAGCCGCTTCGAACGCTGGTTAAAGGATCCGCCTTTCTTGCAGCAGATCGAGAACGAGATCTCCGGTATGTGATGGTTCGATCTTTGATTTCTGTGGCTTGTTTCTCTTTGATAATATGGATCATGAACTTGGCTAAGGAAAGATTTTTCTTGGTCGTAAAGATGATGGTGTCATTTTTGATAGATGGTGTTTAGGCATAGATAGCCCTTTTGCTACTGCTAATTGTCGTGTAAAAGATTGTAGATTATGGGGATTGAGATGAGAGTTTCGATAGAAGGTCTGATGTCAACGTACAACGAGCTAAGCTACAGGACAAAGATTTGGTAAATGGTGTCTATTGATCACTGACTCGAGCCAAAAAGATATTGATTAGCTAAGTGACATGGTTGTAGGCCTGGCCTTATATTTGCATCAATTCGTGCCATTGAACTGCATCTGCTTGTATGCATTTTGTTGGTAAAGTCGGAAATTCCAACTTCTTTTTCATGTATAATTAGCTTTATTGTAATATATTATCTTTGAGGAATCCATATGTAGCATAAAATTGAAGTTGTTCTTCACTGATTGTATACCAAAAGCTCAGGAGATGTGCAATAAGAGCGTGTACTGCTGGCTGATTTTTGTCATATAAACCCATATTACTCTCTGATCTTTACCAGAATGGGCCTGTTGATATCCTTTTTCTTCTTCTTGGCACTAGCCACCTTTTCTTCATCTTCTGATTCTGCATCTATTTTTGTGATGTGTTGGCTATATTTGGTTGAGTTCATCCATGTGCTCTATCTCAATATGATAAAAAAAAAAAAACCATCTCTCAGAGGTTCTTTACCCTTTCCTCTTCCCATCATTGTACTATTTAGAAGTATCAAAATGGTTGATGGAAATTCCATAATACTTCTATTTTCAAGTATTTACTGGCTTCTCCAGTAAATATGCTTAGCTAAATATGAAATAAAAGTGATATTTATTTGTGTGTTTTCTCATACGCATTTTCTGAGCATGTCTTCTATTTTAATCAATACCATATTTTAATCAATACCATTTAAAATCATTATCATGCATGCATCATACATTAGATGTGTTTCTAGATTTGCAAACCATCCTATTTTACAATAGTTCTGAGTCTGTCATCTTTGCAAACCATAAGCTGGGGTGCTACATATTCTTTGCTCATGCATTTCATCGATAAATAAAAAAGGAACTACCGATTCAGTCTCATTTAAGCTTTAGGCCTTTGGCAGTCCTCCATTATGTGTATTTCTTTGAAATATATATATTACCTGACCATCTTTTTACTCAACTTCCGTTTCTATTTCTTCATTCATTGGTGAAAGGGATGTTTCAGTTTTGTTTGATTTGACTTGGAAGGTGCATCCATCTTTTGGCATACTAATATCTGTCGCTTTTTTTAATTTTTCCAGATTACTGCACAACACTTGAAGGTGATGATTGCTATAGCTGTTGGAGGGCCTATTTTGAGCTGAAGGATCTTGAAGTATGTGTTCTTGGATTAGAATTGCCCATCGTTAGCGTGCTACGCTCTGTTACATCTCCTCACTCATTCCTTTCTTTGGTTTATTGCAGCAACAATGGCCAAAGGAAGATGTGGAGAAGCTGGTGAGGCAGGTTGGTGGAATCAAGATGCTGATTGACTGTTTGCATGGTATCACAGCAATGCTAAAGAAGAAAGAAAAAGAAACCGAACCACTGAAACCTGTGACCTCATGCCCTCAAAGAGAGAGACCTGTGATCTCATGCCCTCAAAGAGAGAGACCTTTTCCTGTTCCCGACGGATTGCCTCCGACCGAGGAAGAGCTTGAAGAAGCCGAAAGGGCCAGAATGCCGGATTCTCCTTTTACCAGACTACTCAGAAGCAAAGGGAAGTTCCCTGCTTGGTACACACCACCCCCAGACCATGAGACTGATTGAATTGTTTGTGGTACTGGTAGTTGAACTATAGCATATGTACATATCAGACAAGCTAATGTAGTGGCATATATGAAGTTGTTGAACATCTTGGAGTGTGGTTTCATCATCATTCCATATGTGTTATGTAGTCGAACAGCTACAGACCTTTGTTTCACTTAACTGGGCATAGATTTGGATTGCATCTGATATATGCAAGTTGTTCAAAATCACTGCAAAAGGTTTCTGTTTGCATCTTTTTCCTGTCTTTATGTTTCATGCAGTAGCTGATGAAGTGACAATAGGTATGGTTTCTTCACACCTCATGAACTAGAAAGCCTGAATCATTATCATTTAAAGGTATTCGTCTCAATAAACTGCCCTCCTTATCCTGTTTAAATGGATGGAGGAAATGTGAAAATTGATGATGGATCAATTGTTCATGCATCTATCTCATCATGCTTGTTTTTTCAAGCAGTTCTTGACAGCATAAAGCATGCAATTTTGTCTCTTCAAGCTTTATCTTGAACCCTACTTAATTGCCAGGTATCAAGTTCTGTACCAATTCGACTCAAAAAGACATATCCACCTTCTCATTTCTTGAGCCTAAATGGCCCATGAGATAGAGAGAGAGAGAGAGAGAGAGAGAGAGAGAGAGAGACACTAATTCTTTTCTGTATTATAGATCAAGCAAAAAAGAAGCAATTATGACTTGAATTTCTACATATAATTCAAATTACAATTAGGGATTCTTTTTTTTAGTTTTCAGATATATTATTATTTATAAATCATAGAACCTTGGAATTTTATGATTAGAGAGAGAGAGACTAATTCTTTTCTGTATTATAGATCAAGCAAAAAAGAAGCAATTATGACTTGAATTTCTACATATTATTCAAATTACAAATAGGGATTCCTTTTTTTAGTTTTCAGATATATAATTATTTATAAATCATAGAACCTTGGAATTTTATGATTTTAAAATTATCCAAGAACTCCTATTTTGAAGATTCAGTATATTTACCAATATGCCCCTGACAAAACCCGGATTCGTGCCATCAAAGCGGCGGCGTAGGGTTTTCTTCTTGCGGTTCGGTGAGGCTCGCAAATTCCTAACTCGAAACCCTCCTCGTGGCCAAATCAAACCTCAGGCCCCAAATTGGGATCCTGATAGAGTCGCTATCCCTGTCTCATCACCGCGCGGCGACGCTGCACCGTCGCCGGTAAGCGGGGCCGGCGGCGGAACCATCGGCCCGTGGAAGAGTGCAGATGGCGTTCTCCTTCCATACTCCACCACCCCAACTACAGCAGCCGCAGCCTTCGCCGTTCCAGACCCCGCAACAACCGTCGTCGCTCTTCCAAACGCCTCAACCTCCGCAGCAGAACTCGCTGTTTTCGTCGGTCGGGCAGCAGCAGTCGCCGTTCCAGTTGCAGCCGCAGCAGCATATTCAGTTTCAGCAACCGCAGCAGGCGGCGGCTGCTGCGCCGCAGCAGCAGTTGTTGCTTTATACGAAGGATAGGGCGCCGGCAGGGTATAATACCAAGTGGGACGATCTGCACCCTGACTCGCAGAAGCTTCTTCTGCAGATCGAGTATGTGTTTTTTGACTCCTCTTTTTTTGGTCGTCTTTTTTTTGGTTAGGGTTTCGATGAAGGATTTAGTGCGATTCAGCCACAAAAAATGATGTTTTATATTATGATTTATTGATTTGGTATATGCGTATTTCTACAATGTTGGTTCCTTTTTTGTTATTTGTTATCCTTTTCCTATCTATATTTACTTAGTCTGAGAGAGAATATGGATGACTATCGTCGATTTCTTTGCCTCCTTCTATGGTATACTAATTCATTTTAGATTATTTTTTCAATCATGTGATATAGTTATAACTGGCTATTCATTCTTTCCTAATGCTAGTGGAGGTTCGACGTCTATAGATCGGTTGTTCTTCCATTTTATTTCTTACGAGATACTGACATGTGAAAAGCCATTCTTCAGGGTGCGGATTCTCGAGTACAAGGATGAGAGCCAGAGGTTGGATCAGTGCAGCCGACTCTATGATTCATCAATATCAGGTGACAGTTTTGAGCTCACTGCCAGTAGAATCATTCAGGTTTAGTTCTTCTCTATCCTGTTTTAACATATCTTTGCAGCTCTTAGACATTTTATATTTTAAATGCATCTGTACCCCATTTTTATTCTCCTGCATTATCTTACTCTTTATATTTATCAAAAAGTGTATTTTCCATAACTTTAATCATTATTCTCTGTCCATCATTAGCTTGGCCAGTAGTAGGTGGGTTGATGTGATACATCTTTGTTGGAAGTGTTATGTATACGCTAGATGTTTCATAAGTATGTTTAGTGATGGTATGACACCATTATTTAGTGATTGCCATGTCAAGGCATGTTGGTGATAAGAAATGACAACAAAGATACATATTGCATTAACTACATTGATTGGCGGCAGCCAATTATTGATGCTGCTCTTGTATATTTTATACCAAAAGCAATTTTTTTTAACATAACAAGTGAATATAATATCAATTGATCTGTCTGTTTCTTAACCTATTCAGTCTGAACTTTCGCTAAGCAATGTTTGGAAAACCTTCCCAGGATTCATTTTCATTCTCAATTTTTTCATTTGGTTGATGAGGTGAGCGTGGAGACAAAAGAGTTTTTTTTGTCTTATGTCTTCTCATAAAATGACTATTGCTTTTGACCCACTCTATTCTACCAGTCTTACAATTTTTGTTGAAGTACTTAATGAAGCTTCCTTTAATATAGTAGTTTCTTTCTGGATGAGACTTACTAATGGCTCCACAAGTTAAAGTCTAAACCATAGTTTTTTATTTTTAAGTCTAGACCATAAGTTGATATCACGATAAAACAAGGTCTCTTTTGTAGACATACAACCAATTGATGATTAAAATGATTACATATGTTCAGCTGCTTTTCCCTTTTTAAACATCTTATTTGCAAGTACTCTTTGTTCCAAATCTTCACTTTTTTTTTACAAAGTGAATTTACTGTTCTTATGAGTGATTAATATGATACATCTCCTTTTTGTTGAATTTTGTTTGTTCACAAGAATTAGTATGCTTATTTGTGAAATCTATATCATCTACATGAGTTGATGATGTACACAACTGCTGTTGCATTTTTTGACATCTTATGAAATTGTAGTTTACTAAAGCAGTTCAGTAGATCATTATGGGATTATTGTAAACTATCATTTGTATACTGTAAATGAGGAAAAAAATTGCTTCAAGGAAAATCATTCAATACAGCCATTTGCCAAAAGTGAATAAAAATTAAAAAAACTTGTGTATCACAAGATTCTGTGGGAGCACAATGTTCGGTTGATCCAAAGCTCTATTACAGTTTCTTTTGTATGCAAGAGGAAGGAGTAATTTCCAGGCTAGGGATTCATTTGGGTGGTCCATCAGTTCTAAAGCTAAGGAATAGGATTTGATTTCCTAACTTATATAGGGATATAAAGGTTAAATGTGGAGCTTGGCTTTGTGCCCCTGCTTTTTCTTCCTCTCCATAATTTTTCCATGTTTCTCTTTTTCTCCACTAATATTATTTTTATTTGATAAGGACCTGCCAGTACCAGAAATATACCTTTTTTTAACACCGATGCCAAACTGGATTTAATACGATATTTGTTGCTAATGATACATAATACTCGTCCCACATGCAAACCCATTTGAGTTTTGGTCTTGCAATGACTCACTTGAACAAGCTAGATACTTAACCAGACTCCAATTTTATTAAATGATTGGTCAGATACTATGGCATTGAATCTCAATTTCAGTCCATATAGTTGTCCAATACTGATTTAATATTTTTGTGCATTGAGGTCAACTTAAAAGGGGTGGTAGCAATTGTTCTCTTTTGTTTCATTTGTTGTTTCTTTTTTTTTTTTTCCTTTTTCCTTTTTTCATGGGTTTTCTATGTTTGTTCAATTTGGGAACTCATGTTGTTGCTTTCGAGATTGATGATGCTGGGGCAAGCATGAAGAGGGAGTGCATGGATCTATTGATTTACTTTCCTTACTCTTCATGAGTTATAGTTGAAACCAAGATTTTTAATTTCAAATGATATTGCCTGTATTGGGCAGTACGTACCGGCCCGCACGGATCGTCCACTATCTGGAGGTACCGTCGATTGGGGCTATTTCTGCCCTGTTACCATGCGAAATCAGTCGATAACGGTCGAAATCCCATTACGGGGCGGTATTAGTTAAGGGAAAAGGAAGAAGAGGGAGAAGAAAAAGGAGAACTTGGAGATATGTCGTCGCTCTCCCTCGACAATCCCGATCTGTCGCCGGACGTCACAGATGAGATGTTGCCTCCTTATCTGAGACAATGAGGCCTCGGCGTTGTCGGTGACTTCTCCTCATCCACGCGGGGAGAGGAAGCCTCAGCAACTTCACGGGAGAGGAAACGAGGCGACGTCGCCTCGACAACGTTGCCCTTTTTCATTTTTTTTTAACTTTTATTATTATTATAATAATATATATATATATGTATCAGTTGTACGCCAGTGCTCGATATACTCATACCGTACCATACCTAGCTAAGCTTGATACTCTGGTATGATACGAAATTGCGAACCTTGGTTAAAACTGTGTTGATGTTAAATATTATAATATATTGTAGTTCCTTTTATCTAGATATGAAATCAAAGATTGGGTTTCTCAATACAAGTATACTGTTTTATTTAGGCACCATTCTGAAATGACCATTGTAAACAAATCTTGCATATGCTAAGCTGAAGTTCTCTTGAGGATGAGAAAATTGTATGCAATTTGGACGTTTTACTGTCTCTTTATGCCACTTTGCTTATCCTTTTTGTGCATTAAAGGATGTCTAATGATTCTTGATTTGATCTGTAGGAACTTGGGGTAATCAGTACCGCGATGGAAAGAGAAAAAGTTTCAATCCAAGAATTAATGGCCTCTGTGAACAAAATGATGTGGGACACAGAGTTTGCTATTCGGTCATACATGATGCTGAGGCCAAAGTTTCATCGTCAGAATGTTCCAGCTATTACAAATGTTGCATCTGGAAGTCAGAATACAGGATCAGGAATCGCTTCTAACCCAACTAATCAACTAGCTACTGGCTCTGTAGCTCCAGTTTTTGATTTTTACAGTGGGCTTCCAAAAAGGCCATCTATTTTTATGGAGCATACAGTTGCTAGATTTGAGAAATATCTCACCGAGTGTTGCCAATGGATTGAAGAAGTAGAACAACTAGTCATGATGGATACTAGCAAAATGTCTTCGAGTTCTCTGGAAGCTTTACCGCAAGTCATATCAAATGTCCATGATTTTTTCATTCATGTGGCTGCCAAGGTTAGATGACAAATTTGTTCCTTATAGTGTTCAGGATGCCTCATCATTGTATCAAGGCTTGCATTTTTTAACTTTTATATAGCTTTGTACTACATGTCAGCCATATATGATATTCTTCTATATGACTACAGAGAAGAAAATCTTGTGTAGAATACTAGAATATATCAAGCTCTCATTACAGGATGGTTGATGGTTCATATAATAGAAATGTATAAATATTATTGATTTCAGTATCTATAATTGGATGATTTGTCAGTACAGTGCTGGTGGCCACTAGCGTTCTCCTCTTTTTAATTACTTTAATTTTGGTATTAAAGTTGTCGATCATGTTGTGGAATGCAGGTAGAGAACCTTCACCAGTATGTTGAATCTATGAAGACAGCATATCTTGCTGATCAGCGTCGACGTGGTGATGGGAATGATCCATTTCTTGAGGCCAACAGAAGAGAAGCAGCGAAACAAGAAGCTGCTGCTAGAAGAGTTCACCCAACATTGCATTTACCAGCAATTTCTGCACAATCAACTACTCAAGTTTCTGGTGCCTTTGCTAGTTCAGCAATACCTGTGTCAAGCACTCTGCAGCCATCTGGAGCCCCTTCAGCCGCATCTTCTGGTGGTGGATTTTCATTGTTTAGCACTCCATCTTCAGCTCCTGCTGCCTCTTCCTCTTCCCTATTTTCAACTCCAACAGCTTCTGCTCCTTCAACCTTGTTTGGTTCTTCCGGCTTTTCACCTCAGTCAACACCATTTGGAACTCCCTCTGCATCTCTGTTTGGTTCCACTCAGACTCCATCCGGGTTTGCAACTAGCACTCCATTTGGATCCACCCCTGCTGCTGGTAGCTCTTCACTGTTCTCCACTCCCACACTGACTGCCACAGGTATGAGTTAAATATCGTCATTGAATATTTATTGTAACCTTATTATTTTAAAATATAAGATTCATTGTGCTCAATAAGTGTCTAATAGCAGCCAATTTAAATGGCTATCTTAGTTTGGTTTATTAATTAAGCTTTCTACACAACATTCCGTACAGATTTAGCATTCAATTTGTTTCCTGTTTCTTTCAGGAGTCGCACTAATATTTCTAAACCATATTATATTAATTTATTCTTGCATATGCCATGGGCAATCTGAAAATTTTAATTTGCCATTTGAGTGTGCGATGATCGACTTTAATTTTGTCACCTCGAACTTGTCTTACACCTGGTGCACGTCAAATCAGTGCCTCAATTATTCTACAGTTCATTTGTAAAATTTTTCATACACTCTTTCTTCTGTGTTTAACATGGCTATTTTTCATACCTTTAGGTGCTGCAATCGGTTCGGGTGCTAGCTTTGGTCCATCTGTGAGTACAATGTTGTCGATCAATAAATCTTGTAGTATTACGTGTGTGCTCACTGTAGTAATAGGATGCAATTGTATTTTGTTCCCCCTTTCTTTCTTTCTTTCTTTCTTTAATGTCTTATTTCCATCATCACTGTTTATTTGCAGAAATCATCCAGGCCAAAGACTCGCACCAGCAGGCGTTAGTCGTATGTATGCCATAACTCAAGCTGGTAATCCACAAACCTTTTGCTTAAGGGGTATTTGTTGTATGCCCTAAAACAGGCTGGTGATGTGGAACTCCTTGCAGATGTTTTGGACTAAGAATTTTAATTAGTAAATCAAGTGAGTCTTCTAATGCATAATCATTTTAGTCGGTGTACATTGTTATTTAGCTTTGTGCGGTTTCGGCTTGGAATGTGTATAATTGAAGCTTTGGTGGTGTTAGCTGTCTTGGTATCCTGTGACTGAGGAAGAATGTTGAGTATATTCTTATAAAATTGTTAAGACAATCAGATTAATTGGCTGAGGTTTGGCATTAAGACAATTAGATTGCAAGGAATTAGTCCACATCACATTTGAGCAGAGAACACAGGAAAGCACACAATGTGATTAGTCCCAAAGGGGCAGCTGTTTGTTTGTTGGTGATACATACACATCCAGCTGCATAATCCTGAAAGAGTGTTGAGATACATACTTTTTGACCAACCGATTATTAAGATTTGCTGGTGATATGGATCACATCTTCTGGTTCAGAAACAGAGATGTAAGCACTTCATCCAAACAGATGTAAGCATATGGATCACATCTTCTGGTTCACAGATGTCGTCAATTACATCAATCCAAACATGATACGTAAGTATCCTCCAAGACCATCTGTCGGTGCTGATGAATTCTACGATTGTTGATGTATATCCATGCCGTTTGGAATACGACCACCTCACCTCAGTCGCAGCAACTGCCAGATGGATCTGCATGCGTGACGATCCAAGGGTGCTTCAGGATCTTTTGAAGAGACAGCCTCTTGGATGAATCCTTCACCAGAAGCTACAACAAAATCCAAACCAAGTAAAGACGACGTCAGAAACCCCAAAGTCCCAACTTTTTTCTTCTTGCCAAAAGAAATCCGGAAAGCCCGACGACCAACACAGCTTACTTTGCAGATAAGATCCTTGGCTTCAACAGAAACAGCAGGACTGGAAGGAAACTTCAAGTCAACTTTCATTATCCTGGTTCAAAGATTCTACTCACTGTAATAATGTTTAGCAGAGAGCAGAGAGCACGAGGAAGAGTTACCGACGCCCCTACCTCCTGAATGTACCGTACTCGTCTTCGGCTTCAAACGGTGGGACCCCATACAGGAACTCATAGCAGAGAATGCCCAGAGTCCAATTGTCAACCGCATGGTCATGTTCCTTCTTCTCTACCATTTCTGGGGCAAGATAGTCGATGGTACCACACATGGTGTGCCTCTTTGCATTCGACTGCACCGCCCACCCAAAATCTGCAATTTTTAGTCGACCCTGCCAATTTTCATGACACAGCTATTGAGATCGATCGATCTATCGATTTTCTCTGTTTTCACTATCCCATCAAAACAGAGTTCATAAGATGGAACCTAAAATTTGAACCAAATCATCACCCTGACCACTCGATCGATAGTGTTAGGCAAGAACAACTTTTGACCGGTTAAAACAAGGAGGAAGATGAAGAAGGACAAAAGACCAGATGCAATACGCCCAATTAGAGGAGGAGAAGTGCGCACACCTCAATATCCAGCAACAGGTTCTCCGGCTTGATGTCCCTGTGGATCACATGCTTCTCGTGGCAATACGCCAGCGCTCCCGCAAGGCTCGATACATACTACCAATCCGCAAAACCCTACTGTTATCCATGAATTCAAAACCCCACCTTTAATTGTTTCCCGCAATCAGAACATCACTCACCGTGGCGGCCCGCTTCTCGGAGAAGTGGTGGAGGCTCTTGAGGAGCTTGTAGAGCTCGCCCCGCGCCGCATACTCCAAGACCAAGAAGACGCGGGTCTCGTCGTGGAACCAGGCGAAGAGGCGGAGCACGTTCGGGTGGTTCAAGCCGTGCTGGATCTCGATCTCCCGCCGGAGATGGGCGTGGGATCGGTACTTCTCCAGCTTCGCCTTGAAGATCACCTTCAGTGCCACGACGTATCCACTCTGACCACCGATTTCGACGCCAAGAAAAGCATCAGGGAGAGAAAGAAGGGATCTTTCGCAAGGAACGGGAGGATTAGAGGGTGGTGGCCAGGATCGAATCGAACCTGTTTCTCTCTCGCGAGGTAGACTTTGCCGAACTTTCCTTCGCCGATGAATTTCCCGATTTCGAAATCGGAGATGCTCCATTCTTCCTTGGCCGCCATCGGAGGACGCGATCGATGGGTTTGCGGATGAGCGCAGCGAGGGCTTCGGAATCGAGAGCGACAACAGGAGCGGGAGGTGTGCATTCAAATTGGGGATGATGGAGCGGATATCGGGCACCAATTGACCCGATTACCCGCTTGTTATCGATTATAATCCGACCCGATAATAAAGCTATGTAACAAAGCCGCCCAAGTATTTGGCTTATGGGATACGGCACTCGCTAAATGTGATATCCTCTTCTTGTGCACGCCGGGGATATCTCCGCTCCATGGAATAAGCGATCCATCATACCTCGACGCCCCACCTTCTCCCATGGCATAAAGATGTCGGAGAGATCGGTTCTCCGAGTCTCAGCCATTTAGCGAGGCGATGGCTTCTCCGCTTCCCGTGCTCCGCCTTCCCCTGCCTACTCCTCTTCCTTTCCCCTCGTCGAGCGTAGCAGGTCAGAAGCCAAATCCCTCCGCTGCTCTTCCCAGATCCACGGGAAGCTCCTCCTCGCTCACTCTTTTTCCAATCTCTTGCATCTAAAATGTCTCTCTCCTTTTTCGATTTCTTCGCTTCCTGTGGCTCACGTGCTTCGAAGTTTTAATCTTTATCTCCACTAACTCTTACTCCGTTTATCTCTGCTGGAACGGGTGCAATGGCCAATGCCAAACCAATGTCTGACGTCCGGACTTCGTGGGTTTTCCAGGTCTGATGGCGGGATGCGCCTCGTTCCGCTTGCGACGAGTGCAGCAGCCTCTGGAGGTTCTGATGATTCGACGAGATTAAGTATGGGTCCCATCCGTAAGTTGTTCGATGGATTTCCTCAACCAATTAAAAGCTTTCCGTGGAAGAAAGTGATATCGATATCTCAGCGTGCCTCTTCTAGCTGTGGCATGCCTCAGCGAGATGTCATACTGTGCCCATGAGAGAAAGATGGGTGTGATACCGATTCCATTCATTGTCGGGTTTACTCTTGCTGGGGTTCTCAAGAATACAGCGGAGGAGGTTCTGTCAGATCTCAAGGTGTGTGATATTCGATTGACTTACTTTTGTCAGAGTTCATGGGCGTTGCTTCGAATGCCGGTGTGCTTCTTACAATTGGTTGCCTTTCTCAGGAAGAAGGGTTTCCCTGGTATTTGTTTCTGATTGTGAGCTTCTTCACATTACTCAAATTGCCTGGTCCATATTATCCATACTGGGGCCGGTTATTGATTCCTCACTTTGCTAATGGTGGTCTTTGGAGGACTGTTTGGCTAATATTTATGTGGTATAAAGGGCCTAATGTGACACCTGAAGCTTCCTTATAGGCTGTTGTTTATAGATGGATGCCTTATCTCTGTATGGTGTTAGGAACAGGTACTTTTCTTCTTTATATTACTGTAAGTGGAATAACTTGTGAGTAGATCATTCTTAGCATAGTGGAATACATCAATTTTGTTAAGAACATGATCCTTTGGCATTGATCATTCTTATTTTGGTAATCGTTGTCATAACTTCTTGATGACTTGTCTAAACTCATATAGAGAACTTCAGGAAAATGATAACCAGATGCTATCATGAAGCATCATGTTTCATAGGTATAGTAGCATAAAAATTCATGCAGTGAAACTGACCTCTGGGTGCAATTCAATGTCAAGCAATATGTGGTATCATTTCACTTTTCATGTTGTTTTATTTGCAGTTTTAATATGTTAAACTATTCCCCTTTTTTTTGCAGTTGATGTGAGTAATATCTTAAACTATTTTGTTTTCTGTCAAAGAATCTTGCTGATAAGAGGAATGTTGTCTGTAGGAGGGGTTTCATCAAAGAAAACAGTGGGATGCACCTTCAAAACTTTTCTATAATCCATGAAAATGGAAATTTATGTCCAAGTGTAACTCTAACTTCTCAAACATTTCAGTTCATTAGACTGAACTGTCGAATTGCTTTCTGGTCTTTCTGCATAGCAGTACTAAACTACTAAATTTCTCAGTTATAGAGTTCTAATGTTGAAATATTGAGCTAATTTTCTAATCAGCACTTTAAGGATGCTTAGATAGATCATTGGCTGTCATGCAAGATAAATGCATTTTAGGTGCAGCTTTAGCAGGAAAAGTGCTCAAGACCAATTGTTGATCATAACTGACAATTTTCTCTGTTGGAAATCTTGGTTTATGACGAAACGAGCAACGATAGTAAATGTATTTTAGCTCTGTTTGGTTGCTAAAAGATGGTGGTTTGTTTTGCGTCGTTCGGCTACTGAAATGGAGTTGGTCGAGGAGAACCAGAGACCACTGGTTAAATTTTGAGGTAGTATTTCAGAGAGCACGAGAAAGAGTTCAAGTATTTGGATAACTTGTCCAGATATTTGTGCTGTCTCGAAGCTTCCCTGTCATTTCCTCTGTTTCACTGGGGCAGAACATATTGACAACTTGTCATCAAATATGATGCAGATGATGAATGGTGGTAAGCTCAGAATTAAGCGAACTCTTTGTTCGGTTTCTCCAACTTTGTCTGTTAAATGCCAACTGCTTGTCATCTTTTCTAAATTCAATATGTTCTGCTCACATTTATGAACCTTTGAAATTCTTGTGCACCGAAAATTAACATATTTGTATCGGTAGCTGCAGCAAAATAGAATCTGATTAAATTTTAAAGCAAGATTAGAAAAAGAATTTTATTCTCTGCTTTTTTTTTTCAGATATTGTTGTAGACACACTAGTTACTAGTTCCATTATTTAGGAAGATTGTGAATTTATCAATCCATTATCTTTGCATTAAATTTCATTTTTCATTATCATCAGTGTTCTCGCTCGCAATATTTCCCATTTATGCTTTGCTTGAAAGCTTGTTAGGAAGCTACCGTTTCTTATTGAAAAACTAGATTCAATTATTATGGCCCATGAAAAAGTACAAAGTTGACACAAAATGTAGTATATGGTTTGTATATAACCTTCAGCATGTTTCAGCATCTTTCGTAGTAAAATATAGATCCATCTTGTAACTTACTCGGAATGTCTCAGATTATGTAGCTCTTGTTTTCATAGTTCAAAAAAGCTACGCATGATTTGTGTTTGGCAAAGTTCACCGGTGGTGTCAGATTCTTGTTTGGTTGTCCATTTGCGATGCCATCATAGCAAGGGATCAAAGGGCAGGCTGTTGCGTTTCTGGCCCTAGTCCAAGATGTGAGCCATTGCTTTAGTTTTCATTCTCGTCATGAATGAATCCATTAGTCTAATTAATTTTATGGCTGATAGGCATCGATGAGGGAGCATGCGGAAGTCGGTCCATGCGAAGTGGGACCTCATGGAAACCATCAGCAGATTCTTTGATCCCAATTGGATACAATCTTGGATATCATCGTCGCTGCAGTCCGAAGAAGGAAACCATCAGTTTGAACCAAGTGGGAGGACAGGAACTTGGAGACTGACTCTACTTTTTTCGGATTCAACAGCTACTACGAACTCCAATTCATCATGCAGTCTCGTCATCATCATCATCATGCACCATATTCACATTGGTAAATCTTGTGAATAATAACTTACCAGTCCAAACATAACTTACTTTGCTGATCTTTTCCGTCCATGCCTTTCTCCAGATCGGAGAGCAAGTAATCTCAGCTGCCTAATGTTTATAATGGATTGGGCATTTGCCTTTGGAAATTCTTGCTTATGCTCGAACACAAAGCTAATGCTCTGCTGCAAAGTCGAATACTTGGATGTTTCTGCATTGTGTCATGAATCAGAAAGAGGAAATTAGCATCCATGACCGGGACAGTGATAAACCTGGAGCATAATACTTATATATGACTAGTGGTGGGATCGATCCGAGTGACATTTTAACCTTGAGAAGGCCATCGATCGTTGTTGTTAGTTGTGACTCTGTCTGTACATGGATACACCTCCTCGGAGGACATGGAAATTTGACATGAAAGGATAAGCTGTGAAAGCATTGCAAATCTTGAAAGGCAAAAGAGAAAGTTTTGGGTTGGGTTGGGTTGGGTTCTTACGAACAAGCGAAATACGACTCAACTCAGGTCTCCAAAGTCAAAAAATCTAGCACTCCACTCCATTGGCAGGGCAAAGCAAAGGTGTGTGTACTTACTACTTATAAGGTGCTGTGCTTATTCCACAACCAAATTGGCGTTGGCGTTGCTGCTTTGCTTTAGAATCCCCAACACCCAAAGCGAAATGATGAGTGGACATCCCCAAGTGGGGTTGAGTAATGTTCTGCTTTACGCAACAGAATCTTAGCAATCTGTTCACCAACCTGTCTGTCCCTATCTATCTATCTATCTATCTATCTATCGGAGGAGGAGATGAGATGAATAGAGCAGATTCTATCTATCTATTTATCTATCTATCTACTTTATTCCTCCCGAGACCCCATGTAACTCACATCTTGAGTGACCACTCATTTACCCACCCCCTTCATCCCATATCTCCGATACGTTCTCCCATCTCCCGAGATGCCCATAAAAATTGACCATCTACTACTCGAGGGGATGACTTGCTTCTCAAGCATCATCTTGACTCGTTCGTCGTCGAGGGGACGACCGACGGTAACATCAACGCAAACCGAACTCTGGAGAGATCTGATTGCTGCCGCTTCTTTGTGGGAACAACAACAACAACACGATTCAACGTTTCAATCGAGACCACATATCATCGTGCGTGGAATTCCAAGTTGTGGATTCTTTCTTAGTTGGGGACAGACGTTCGCTCGCTCGGAAGAACTCTCCGATGGCAGAGAGTAGAGTCAGAGTTTGACGAAAAGTAGCAGTCAATCAAATACTACAGCAGTCGATGGAAAATCGACCGATACTGCTTCTTCCAAACATCCCCTCTTCCATTGATTCGTACGGCCATAGCGAAAAATAAAATTGACTTTTTATTCTTCCAACCAACCATGTCTTTCTTCTTCTTCTTCCTTGCAGATAGATCCCAAATCACCCAAAAGAAGAAAAAAGGAAAGCTTAGCTTAGCAATCTCATCGAGCTTCGATTACCACAATGATAACTCGTAAATCGCAATAGATTGATTGGCTTTTGGGAAGACAAGGGGGGTGAGGAGGGGTTGCTGCGCTCCTCCCATGGCATCTTCTAAGCATTCATTCCACTCTTCCCATTTGTGAACCCCTCCCTCGATAGGAGGAGGAATCAATCGAGACAAGGAAGGACGACCGTCCTTTCATGTGCCACGAGGTTATCGACCATCCATCACCACAGAACCGAAACGAAATGTTACCCCCATCCATCCATCCCCTCACACACCCTTCGAATTATATCTAGGCTTGTCGCATTTCCAAGATTCTTGCACGGTGGATGACCCAACACGATCTACCAAAATTAATTGCATCACGAGGGATGTTATATTTCCTACACTTTGTTCATCTCTCTCTCTCTCTCTCTCTCTCTCTCTCTC